AAAAAAGAACATTTTTAATAATGCTTTCTATTAAACACGTTCACATAGAATGAAAATTTTAGGACTTACGACTGTAACTTCAACAATGTGAGCTACATTCTTCTGGAATGCACACTGCGCAAATACAGGAATATTTAAATCAAGGGACCATATTAACTCCTGTATCTCTAAACATATCCCATCAGTAGAATGAAGCTGTTGAACAAAGAAAATTTAAAATTTTTATTAATGTTTAATATGCTGCAGTTTATACATATAGATTTTAAAGCATATTTCGTCATATGTATAATATTACACATTTGTTTTACACAGCAACCGTTTTTCTTACGCAGTAACTGTATAAATTATTATCCTAAAAATACTGAGAGTTTCGGGTTGTGATAGGTGTCCATATTTTTCACAAAGAAGCACTCATTTTCTTAAGGAAATAAAATATTTCTAAACATTAAATTTATTACAAATTATTCGCACACAAAAATGGCGTAACTGGAAAAAGAAATTATTGAAAATATTACAAAATGTATTTATTCATAAAATATTACAGAAATGATAACTTTCAGATGAATAATTTATAACAGTATTCCTTATAATTTATAAACCCCAATAACTAAAATTTTCTGAACTATCGTTTTCTCAAATATTTAGTCATTTTACTAGTTCATTTTCAATAAAAGTATAAAAGTTTATTTAAGTCTTAAAACATACTCAGGAACCTTAGAGTCAAATGTACATTTGTTTGGTAAGAAAATTACATAAGAATGTACTCTCTGCTATTATAACTACAAAACTTATCTGATCAGCACTGTAAGCAAGTCAAAAAACTAAATACGCAATCTGCACTTAACAGTTTCTAAAAATAAGCTGATTCCATTTAGTCATCTCTGGCTTTCATTAAAAAGGAATTTTTATGATTAGGTATTATGAACTGGAAACTACCTTACACATTAAGCCATCGAAGTTTTTATAATGCCTGCATTATAAAAACATATTACTCCAAAGCTATAAAACTCATCGTAATGAGCTAATGTGTTATAAACTGGCCCTAAAAAAGATTAAAGCTTGGTATGCATGAGGTTATCGATGTAAAAATGAATATATTTTTTTCCAACATATGCATCGAAAATGAATAAATAATCCAATTCAACATTTGTGTGAAGCTCTCAATTTTACCCTGGACTGCCAGGACACTTCAATTTGGCGGTTGCTGTCTTATTCCATTATATATATAATTATATGTGTGTGTGTACGATAAAAGAATATAAAGCAAACTTCTGACTTGACTAAAAGGAAAATATAGCCACTTTTATCCTTCATTTTAATTTGTGTATTTACCCTTTCTATCCTAAAAATAGTAATATAGTATATGTTTCTATCCTTAAAATAGTAATTATTCACAATATATTAATCTAAATTGCGTCATTTCAAAATTAATCCGCATCATACGATTTTAACACTGCAAATACCTTTAATTCAATCACTGAATAAGATTTCAATTGAGAACCAAAACTTTTTGATACTCTTCCACGCTTCTCAATGCGTCGACACCTTTCCTGCTTTGCTTGCTTTGTGTTAGGATGTCATCACTTGTCTCTCTCTCTATTATTCATTGTATATATTAAGATGTACTAAACTTCCAAAAATGTGGGGTGCAGATTGCGTCGATGATAATATGTGAATCATAATATGCATCTAAAGAGTTTTCGAGAAATAAATTGTGGGTTGAATCCACAATTACTTTTGTCTCCAAGTTCCATCCTTCTACAACGCAATGACGCATTCCATCTGTATTATATACATATAAAGAAAAACCCATTATACATGGTTGCAATTATTATACAGGGTGTTTGTAAAGTCCCGGACCCATTTTGATGATTAAATACTCATCAAAAATAAGAATAGATAAAATTATAACATAAATGGTAGATTAGACCAAAACGTTTCATGACCCTTGTCAAAGACCCACTTTTCCCCCTTACTCGCACGAGAAATATCAAGTCGCTATCAATTTCATGCCAGTACCGCAAGTATGTCGGCTCCACTGAGGCTATGCGGTTGTAAGTCTGGCTTTAGGTCATCAATGTTCGACACTCTCCTCCTGTAAACGTTGTTCTTTACAAATCCCCAAAGAAAAAGTCCAGCGCATTATATCAGGTTGAATCTGGGTGGCAGGATGGGACCTCCTCGCCCAACCTCTTCCTGTTAAAAGGTCATTCAAGACTATGAACGATGATAACCCAATGAGGTGGTGCCCCATTTTTGTTGCAAAAGACATGGGATGAAGATTTTCTATTGTGAATACGAGTTTTCCAACATTCTAAGGATACGACGATGAGACCTCTTTTCTGTAAAGAGGCCATGAATCGTAGTTCATTATTCCACACCACCACACTTACATTTGGAATCCTTTGCCTATTATTCATGGGGTTTTCAGATCCCAACCGCACTATGCGATACATGCCAGAAAGATGAAGATGCTTCATCGGAGACATTACGCGCTTCAAAATTCAGCATCATTTCTATCCTCCTTAGCATATTGTGCAAAGTCCATCCTCCTAGGCCTATCGTTCGTTTCCAAAACTGAACAATTTGAACTTGTATGCATGCAGTCTAATTTTTCTTAATACTTTGCCACGTCAAATGGCATATCCATCTCTGCTGCTATCTCACAGATCTTCTAGGATTGTTAATGTCTCTCTGACACGTACATCAAAACACTGTCAGGAACGTCCAACGTTTTATCGCTATACTTCCTTTCTAGAAATCTTTTTCCCCGCAGATCCTCGCTTTTGGATGCGATCTTTTGGAATTCTCTGCAATTCTCTGTGTTTGCATTATATTCGTTTCATGACCCCTACATCTGTGCTTTCGCTTGGGGTATGCTTTCCTTATATCCGTCGATAAACATCACATACAGTCTGAACAACACTCAAAGTCACATACATTGCAATAGTTGCCAAAAATAAAAGAGAGAAAGATGCAATTAATAAGCAGACGATATTTAGAAAAGTTCAGATATCTAGACTGGAAAATGAAATTATCTGAAGTTAACCACACGCGCAGATGATACTTACAAAAGTAAAGATATTCAAGCCTGAAAAGGAAAATATATAAGTTATTCCATCGACAAATGCCACGTTTGTTTATATCTTCATTATTTTATGATTTATAAAAAAATGGGTCCGGGACTTTAAACACTCTGTATTATAGAGTGCTCTTGCTTGCTTTATTCCATTATTTAGACGCTTTAAGTTTATATTATATATTCACGGCATATTATGCTTTCAGAAACATTCTTGTTGCGGAATCTCTAGCAATAAGGTAAGGGATTCGAGCAGGTTTGTGTATACATATATATATTTATAAAATAATAATAATAAAATGAAAAAATTTAAAAAAAAGTGTTGAATAACATTTTAAATAATGTTGCCTACTAAACACGCTGAATTAGAATGAAAACTTTAAAACTTGATTAAATGTAATTTCGATGACTGTTGTGCGAGATATTTTGAAAATTTAGAAAATTACTACAGTGAGAAGAAAATTTTTCGTATGTTTTAGTATTTTAACATTTAAACCTTATAGATATTTTAAGAAATTTTGATTAATATATATTTTTATAATGCAGACATAATTTTTCTATTATATATATTTGTTGCTATCATATCACTATCACAATCTTGTACAAATAAGCTGATGGTGCAAAATCAGTTCAAATTAAACACTAAATAATAAAAATGTCTCGAAAAATAAACATGCCTTGTGCCAGTGTCAGGTATCTAATAGACTGCCTTTTGTTGAGAAATGAAATCCAAAAGAAAGCTTTGATTGTAAATCTTATTAGTTAAATAATAATAATTGAATAACCGACTTCCCTCCGGTTTAAAATACCATAGCTCAATACTACAGGATTATTTATTTTGTTAACCGGCAGTATTTAAAATTAATGACGGTCTCATATTTTAAAATCTTATCGGCAAATAGTTTAATCCTTTTACGCTATTTTTTAATTTCCTGTCAAAGCACTTTGAAACATTTTACTTAATCGAAAGTAGCAATTTAGATCTATGTCATAAAGCCTGTAATGTGTATTTTAGTTACTGCTTCCATTTATTAATAATAAAATAATAAAAAAATGCATAAATGTAATTTTTAAACTGTAGTTAATGATCAATAAATCAACAATAATCTTCATGTAATTTTTAATGCAGCTCTATTATTATTTCTAAAAGGTATACATTAACAATATAAACTTAAAATACTTGTTGCATCTTGAATAAAATGCAGAATATTCATTAAAAAAAGGAATGCGCTACAAGCTGCATATATTTACAAGCTCTGGGAAGAAAAAATAATAAGTTCTTAAGGCAGTTCAGACTGCAGTTTTAACTCATGCTTGTTAAAGTAATGAGCTCAAAAATGTTTCATTAATAGATTATAGATCTTTGCCTTAACAATTTGGCGCGTCATTTAGTTAATATCAGGGATAGTTTCAGCACTATGATTAAACGTTAAAATTAAATAATAAAACGTAAAATTAAATAATCTCGTATAATTACAGTAACATCTTCGAACTAAATTTATCAGACAGCACCACTCACCAAGAATAGAATGTTATCGGAAAATGCTAAAGATAATTTGGCACAATTATTTCCAGGAGTAGCATCATTTGGTTTGCAGTGTGTTGGCATATGATCCTTTAAATAAAGATGAGTATTCGTATGAGACAGACAAAATCTGGAAACTTCACATGGAGTAGACAAACATGGATACGAAAACTGAGGAACACATAACTCTCCACGAGGACATTGTTTACTATAATCTTCAAAGTTCATTCGATGTTCACACGTCTTTTTCTCACACGAAACCTACGAAATGAATATAATAGTTAGAATAGAAACACATAATATCAAAATTTCGAAAATTTTAGATAGTAGACTATCAAAAACATAATGCTATAGGCAAGTAAGAACAAATGAATGACATGTGGCAAATTCTTTTACGCTTGCCGTTATTTATCATTATGTCTAATTAATTTTATATCCCAAAACTACTGATTTAATCTTGTATGATTTTTTAATCTTGTTATTCCCTTTTGTCTTTAGAAGTGCATTCATTACATTTCAGTACCGCTAATGTCATTAATATATATGAAAATGTAAAATCTTCGCACATACCCTTTTAACATACCATTTGGCAACACCATATCATAAGCTATCTTATTTTGGCGTAAGAAACATCCTTAATTTACCATAATTTGTATACGTTTAGAATTTCTTGTTCAACATGAGGCTAATTTTCTGTGCTTTATTCTTGCGTCTCAAAAACATAGTAGCCGCAAGCTTATGACAGATAATGAGCAAAAAAAATTTGGTACGACTGATATCGTCAAAAGGTTTGCATGGCATTCAGAATTGCTTCGTCTTGAAAGAGTTCTTAGTTTGAAGAAAGGAATAAATCCAAAATTGCGCTGTTTTGAGAAAAGAAATGAAACAACTTAACTTATCATTTATTCTAGAGTGATATACTCACAGTGGCTTTTGCATCTACTTGCGACGTGAGCGCATCTTTTTTCAGTTGCTCAAGCTTAGTAAATGGTTAATCCATCATCAATAACAAATTACAGATTTGTCTTTTTCTTCAAACTATTGGCGGAAGACATGGAAGTAAGGCATTTTAAAATACACTAGTTTTCCGAAATTAAGGAAAAATCACAAAAATAGCGATAAGTCGTTCATAAATAAGCCAACCCGTATAAAACTTAGATACGTTGTCAAATAACAGTTGTTGAGTAAAATGCAGTTGCCAAATTAATAGCACTACAAATGGAATGTGTCATCTGCGAGGAGCATAAAACAGTGGTGTAGAGCTTTTAGAAAAACCTGCTTACTACCATAAATGATAGCCTTCCTTTTAAAAGCAATCTCAGTGTCATTGTTGCTATTCTCTCTTTCGCTTTTATTAATTACAAACTTGCTCAGAATTTTTATAAGTGGCGTTTCCAAATTATTCATCTCCTATTAGTTATCTTCTATTAAAAGCGAATTTTTGAAAATAAGGAGAAACTGCAGTTTTATAATAATTAACAAAAACATTTTCTCTAAATAAATTCATCTTTAAAAAGCTTACGCAAGATATATTTTAACCTGTGCGGACGCACGCAGAGTCATTCCACAGAAAGATTCATTGTGATTTGCTTAGAACACTTTCCCTTGGAAATAGACGAAATCTATTGCAGTTTAATTGAAAAACCATATTCTTTGGGATCCTAAATCAAACAGTGAATTCATTTCCTGAAATTATGACACGAAGGTATAGGATACCTAGCAACTTCTCACAATTCTTCAAAATTCTGTGATCATTCTTTTCCTGTCAAGCCAAATATAGCATACACATATTTCTACTGAGTGATTTGAAATATTTTAAACGTGAGAAATGGAAATTTATTACATCAAGTAGTTTAATCAGTTATTTAAAATTAATATTAATTTATGCTATCATAAGCCATTTGATATCCATTACACAATTCTGATAAACCTTGATTGCGGATAATTGGTTTTGAGATAAAAACTATTCCACGAAACCTTAAAAAAAAAAAAAAAAAAAAGTCAGAAAATTGCAAAAGAATACTGTAAAAGATGAGAAATTCTCGCTGAATTGCCAATTAAAGAACAAGGTGGCACATTCTTCCATTTTACTGTTACTTATTACAGGCAAAGATAATAAAATGGATGAGTGTTCAGAAATGTCTCAAAAACTTGAAATCTGTTTTTACAACCTGACGAAAGAAACCGAAGGTATTGATAAAATTAAACAACCCAATCCTCTTTACAGCATATAGCCAGTGGTCCATAATTTTTCTGGTCTAAATGTTGTTACAATTCATGTTCATTGATTATTTACCGTCTACAAAATAGACACCGGTTCAATTTGGGGAATAAGCGGTTTTTCTAAAGTTCACCGTGGCACAAACTTATAATGAATACACAAATCAAAGATAGCAGTAATATATTTTCAAGAAAATTAACCACAGATATTTATGACAAAAGTCAGACTAGAATAGAAGAAATCTTATGCCATAAAAAGAGAAAATCCCCCAGTTTTTTTAAGCTATCCAGAACTGGGATTCACCTGGAAAATTATTTTCCTGGAAGATTTCTACATGTCTCATATTATGCTTACAAACTTCATTTCATAAATCTTTTCATCTATTTAACTCAATAGATAACGTCAACCATCGACTGTAAAAATAACAAATACAATGATATTCATATATTTTAAATTAATTGGGGAGAATATGTACAAATTAATTTTTTATTAAAGAAAAGATGCTGTATCATTTATTTTCTTAGAATTCATAACTTTAAACTTTTATCATTCACAAAAGTTTGAATGCATCTCTTGTGTCTATTATTTTATCTAAGTGTGTATTAAAACTCTACCATACAGATAAATATTTCATTTACCCTAGAGCAGATAACTTTCCCTTCTTGACAGATGCAGGTGTTACATTCAAATTCCCATTCACTGCCTTCCATCTGTTTGATACCTTGAAACTCACAATTTTTTTGTGTATCTAGAACATAGAATATCATAGTTATTTGATAATCGGAATGTTCATATTTTTCAAGTATTACACTAACACTTATTTTAAATATTTGCCTAACATTATACATAAATATCACAACTTCTATTTTACCAATTATATTTCCTCTCATATCTCTGAATTAGATCTAAATCATGATTTATTTTGCATTCAATTAATGGAAAAATTAAACATTAACACTAAACATGCTTTTTCAATAAAATTCCAGTTTTTATTTTAGAATAATATAGTCATCAACCATATTAAAAAAAGTAAAAAATATTTAAAAAGTTGCCATATTAAAAAAAGTAAGAAATACAAATAGTTTATAAAACAAAGTACAGTTCAAGTCAAATTTCAAATGTAATTATAAACTGATTAAAAAAATAATTCAAACAGCATTTATTATTCATACCTATTTCGCAATGTTTTCCAGTTTTACCTGGAGGACATATACAGCGAAAATCATTTATACTGTCCTCGCAAGTAGATCCTTCCGCACAAGGAGAAGAAGCACATTCATTTATATTAATACGGCAGTCAGGCCCAGTAAATCCAAGAGCACATTCACACATGAACCAATTTATGCCATCAATGCAGTGACCTCCATTGAAACAAGGATTGTGCTTACAGTCATCAATATCTAAAGACAATAGAATAATGAATATGTAATAACACGATATAAAAGGAGACTTTAACGTAATGATAACAAAGTTTAAATAATTCAGTAACTCAAAACTAACAAAGTTTAAATAATTCAGTAGTAATAACATACAAAAGACCACACTTGCAATACAGGCGGATCTCTAAGTGAACAAATATTTATTCTGGGAATTTCCCTATTTAGAATATTTTAACGCAACACTGAAAATGCACAAATTTCCCGAATAGCGAAGCCTATTTTCTGCTTAACAAAGTATTTAAAAAATCTTCATATTTCCCTATGATATTTCATATAATTTTCTATCTAAGAAAACATGCTTTACGCAAATGACATGAATGGGAAGTAAATGGTGGATATACACTGGTGTGCAAAAATTAAGGACGAAGTCGAAAAATTAGCATATCAGCCGAACGAAGAGGCAGAGCGGACAGAAAGACCAATCAGGAGATTAAATAAGGTGATGTACGGTAGCACATGCGCAGATATGCAGGTAGACGTAATGGGGGAATGTCTGAGTAGTATAAAGCATGTTGTCGGTGTAAGATCAGTATTTCTGGCAAAGAGATTGCACGCCGTATAGCAGTTAAAATCACACCGAGTTGCTGCCTCAGCGAGAAATGGCGAATAATCAATCTGTTAGACGACATCTGGATGCTTTTACCCGAGGTCGAATCATTGGGAAGTTGGAGGAAGGCCGCAGTGTGACAAGTGTGGCTGCAGAGTTCGGAATTGCTCACAGCATCGTTTCACGACTTTGGAGACAATTTCAAACTACAGGAACAGCTATCCGGGGTTTTAGTAGTGGTCGTCCACGAGGAACCACACCCGCAGATGACCGGTATATTGCCTTACAGGCCAGAAGAAACAGGCGGCAGACAGCGGGAGAAATCGCTAGACACACGACACAGGCGACTGGACGACCGATATCGCGTTTTACCGTGGCCAGAAGACTGCACGGTGGTGGTCTGTTTGCACGACGCCCTGTACGGTGTGTACCTCTAACGCCTGCCCATCGGAGAAGGCGTTCTCTGTGGTGCCGGGAACACCGGAATTGGAGAGACAATGAATGGGGACGAGTACTCTTTACAGATGAGAGCAGATTCAGTCTGAGTAGCGATTCTCATCGCATACTCATCTGGAGAGAGCGGGGAAGCCGCAATCATCCCTCGAACATCATTGAAAGGGACAGGTATGGAGGTGGCGGTGTTCTCGTTTGGGGAGGCATCATGCTTGGTAGTCGTACAGACCTTCACATCTTCGACGCAGGTTCAGTCAACGGGACCCGTTATTGTAACGAGATTCTTCTTCCATATGTGCGTCTTTTTAGAGGCGCTATGGGTCCGCAGTTCCTTTTCATGGACGACAATGCACCATGTCATCGCACAGTAGCTGCCGAACAGCTCTTAGAGAGTGAGGATATTGAACGTATGGATTGGCCGGCACGATCTCCGGATCTCAATCCCATCGAGCATGTATGGGATTTTCTAGGCAGACGCTTGGCAGCTCGTACCTTACCACCAGTAACGATTCCGGAGCTTCGATTGGCGCTGCAAGACGAATGGGCAGCAGTGCCTCAACAACTCATTGACACCCTCATTCTCAGCATGGGCAGACGCTGTGAAACCTGCCTAGCAGTCAGGGGAGATCATATCCCCTATTAAAGACCGGATGTTTCTTGCTGGACACCCATCACAGGGATGTTTCGGCCTTCAGTCGCATTGCGCTCCGTGCTACTTTTTCAATAAAGCTTCTTTTTATCCCTCTGATTTCTCTTTTAGTAAGTGTTGCTTACATTATCAGGTTCAATGTTCCTTCTAACCTTCTTCGGGAACATACAAGGACCTGACTCGGAACAGAGAGCTTACTAAAGCTATGTTCACTAATTGTGGTAAGTAGACAGGATACAGACGAAGGGTATACAAAACCCTTTATTTTTCTCTATATACAATAACTTCCGTACTTCGGAATACACCGACCCGCCACTTGGGGTCTAACGTAACTCTGATTTCTCTTTCAGTAAGTGTTGCTTACATTACTCATGTCCTTAAGTATTGGGGATCTTACGGTATTAAATGTGTTGATTTGGAAAGCTTTTGTACAAAGTTATATTGAAAAAACCGTCTCGTCCTTAATTTTTGCACACCAGTGTATATAACATACATAACAAAGACATTTAAATGTGGAAGAGACTGGATTATTTTTGCAATGTTTGCCACAAAAGCAGAGATGTTTGGCAATTAGAAATGCTTCGGAAGTAAGCATAGCAGAATAAGTGTGATTATCATGCTTTGGCAAATATGGAAGGTATTTACTTATAAAAGAAACAAAAAGCCAAGACGTTTACTACTATTTAAAGAAACAGCAGGAAGGAAAACAAATGATGTTTTAATTACCAGCAAAAATAAAAAGTCACAATTTTAAGCGTAAATTTGTCAATACTGTGAAAAACGTCAACGTCAGTTACATGTAGAAATTTTAGTCAGGAGGTAGAAGTCAAATAATAATACAATGACACACGCTCTTACACTACAGTTCATTGCTGCAGAGTAGGAGTGAAAAATAAAATATAGAGAGAATGAAAGTGTAAAACGTTTTAAAGTCGAAAAGCCAAGTTAATAGTAGGAAATGTTTAAAAATTAGTTGCTAAGATATTTTCTCTTCTAGATGCCTGGAAAGAGATGAGATCCTAATGAAATGTTTTTTGATGTCATAAATTTACTGTCCAGTGACGGGAACCTCCTGTAAAATTTAAATTTAATCTTAGAATTGGAATTTCATGCTTGTAAAAGTTGGCTCATTGTTAGGTTTAGAATTTTAAATCTTACCAAGGTAGTTAGGAACTTTTGTCGCGATTACTTAAATTCTGGTGGGGAATAATTGAGCGGTTATTATTATTTGGCATTAACCAGTTATTTATAATTTCAGACTTTATTATCACTTCTCCTTTCCATTTACCCACCAGAATGCATATTATTTAGACAGTATTTAAGTCGAGGATTTTGGATTGTAAGACAAAGCGGGTTTTTACTCTCGAGGCCAGATTACTAGGTTCCGTCAGCTCTGATAAGATTGTAATTTTTCGGCTTTGCGTTATTGCTGCCGACATTTCATTGTTAAGCCGGTAAGAAGTTTTGAGCCAACTTATAGTTAAAATCATTTGTGTAGCCTTTGACTACTAGGCTTAGTTTAATTTTTGAACTTGATTGTTACTTAAGTTGCATTGCCAAAAGTGGTGGTTGGTCCCGTTAGCGCAGTTTTATTAAATCCCAACATTAAAGTTCTGGTTTAATAAAAAGGTTATTTTAACCTTCTCAAGTCTTTGTCGTTAACTTCAGACACAGGATAATTTGCTTCATGTCTGTTGGGAGTTTGGTAATAGTTTATGCTACCAAAGCAAGTCAAACTCTATAACTTAATGAAAGGGGGGAACCCTGCATTCCTAACATAATTAAGAAAAGGATAAAGAAGTGTATTATAAAGTGCAAAAAAGGGGGGGCGGGTTTTGTGAGTAACTTATTTCAATTAAGCAAATTTTTAATGAAACCTAATGACCTTTATATGATTTAGGATTAGATTTCGTTCCAGAAATTCCTAAATTTGAGTTTTAAATCGCTTTCTTGTCTTTTGGAAGCTTAAGCACATTCAGTACTAAAATTTATCATACCTATTTGTAATTATGTAAAATATGCTGTTGTTCATGATAGAATATGGTGGTAAATGCACATCACGTTAGCACTGTTTTTAAATTAGAAAAGATATCTACAGGTACCTTTTCTTAACTAATATGTACTTCTAAAATTTTGTAATAATGTGAATGGTGGCTTTGCAAATGCGGTCAAGAGCAAGAGACTGACATTAATTACGGAAAGGGAAAGTAAACGGCTGTATCAGGGATCATAAGGGGAGATATATTTTAAATGAAAAGTGTTTTTAGGTCTCATTCAGTATCAGTATATCAGGTATATATATCGCGCGCTGGAGATAAAATGTTTTTTTTTTTTTTTTTTTTTTTTTTTTTTTTTTTTTTTTTTTTTTTTTTTTTCGTACAGTGTTGCCATTGCTCGCTTTGAAATTTCTGAGTTTGTTAATCAAAAATTCGCTGAAGTGTTATAAAATATGAAATCGATATTAAAACAAATTTTAAATTCAAATTAGGGCTTCCACACGCCGATATTATATGGAAGATTACGTTATTCAAATTTTGATAGCTCTATGTACCGTCGTTTTATCAAAACATACATACATTCATGCAGACTCTTCATTATTTAATTTCTTTAAATATAATACACAGGGCGATAATATTTGGTATCAACAATTTGAAAAGTGATTCGCCGTTTATATTTTCAACGCAAAATGCCAAATGAAATTAATAATCCTTCTGGTCAAATTGCCCCTTTGGAACTAATAATGTATTCTAAAGAGCGATGGGCTGAATGCCTAGCAATAAGGGTTTGGAGTCAAGAATATATTTCGCACGCAAAACCATTATATTACTTGCAAGTATTTCATTAACTGATTTCGTTAAATTTTGAAATTTTTATATAAACTAGAAAAGGGATATAAAAATTAGGAAATATTTTATTTTTAAATAAACATTCAATTTATGTGTAGATAGCTGCAAATATTTTACTCAGTTGTTGTAGCAGAGTTGTAATTTTATTGGGAGGAAAACTAGGAAATTCCACTGGTTAAATAATGGAAAATCGAGAAATTTTTGCGATCGAGGAGCAAAACGCTTTTTTCTGGGAGGGGGGGGAGTCTATACCAGAAAGGAAGCAATAACATAGATAACTAGCATGTAACGAAATAAAATATTATACATTTTTTTTAAATTACAAATTTACATTTACTAATCAATTCAAGAAATGCATACAAAAGCATTAAAGTCAAGATTACTGTTTAATTTGACAGTATTTTTAGACATTATGCTGTACATAAAACGGCTTTTCTTCGTTAAGAAGTTCGTTTTTAAAAAGGTACCCTTTTTCATCGAAATCGTCAGCACTGATACGAAATGAAGGGCGATTTATACTATACCTCAATTTCCTGGCCTGTAAGACGCGCAGTGATTTATCAGGTTAAAACTTGGGAAAAATACTTAGACAGAAAAGAGTTAAGTACCTATTTTAATGATAAACAGTTTATACAATGAAAACGGAACTGTTGCATTAAAAAATTAGCAAATACATCAGCGTTTCTTAGAATCCCAGAAATTCGTCATCACTGTTGCTAAAATCATAGTTATTTTCACTTAGGTTGTCACTGTAACTAGATTTGCCACTTTTCTAAAACACAATGTCATCCTTATTTCCACTAGTGCTCTGCTAATTCCACACTTTTTAAAAGATTTGTTGTAGGATAAAATTGGATAATAGGATAAATGTATTTTTCAGTATTAATTTCATTCTGAAGAATTTTCTGCAGTCTAGTTTGCGCTATTTTATCTATAAGTCTCAAATTAAAAACAATTTAATATTTATATGTCATTAGAAAATTAACCAAAAAGCAGCGATCACAATGTAATTGAAAAACAGTCCTTAGATGTGAAAAGGTTGAAAGCCATTTGAGTTAAGACTATTTTCTCAGATATTTAGCTACTTCGCATTCATGTAACATAGCATTCAAAATGAAAAATTCAATATTTACTACAAATTCATTGATGTAACAAATATCTGTCTTTCTACTCCTACTTTAAAAAAAGATGTTATTTGCCTTACAGTTTATAGTTCACTAATACATTTTCATTGTACAAAATTGCATTCCTTCGAAGAATTCAATTTGCATTTTCCTCTGTATAAAAACTGAATGTAGAGAAGTTAAATGTTTAAACGACCCCCACGTTTTCTCAAGACCCCGAGCAAGACTATCCCCTCCTTTTCAGCCTCCCCCCCCCGTGAAAAAAAGGGATCCTAAATTTACGACCTGACCGCATATAAGGTGATTTTATATGAATATGTGTTAGTAATTATATGTAAAAATTAGAATTATGCGTGTTCAAATTCTAAGTGCATTTCATGTTACATAAATTCATCATTCATAAATAATATGTTTGATACTAGAGAACTTATTAACATTTAAAATTTTAATTTTTTAATGATCTGCTATGTGTGTGTTGAATCTGTGTTAAATGAGTATGATCATATATTAGTTATATACAGTCCAAATATGAAAAAATAAACTTAAATGACTGCTGACTCTGGAAGAAAAATTTCAGTTTCGTTGCCGTCAAATCTCTCTTAGGATAAAAAGTCGTTTTTTAAATGACACTAGATTAAATTAATTCCATAATCTATTAGTAAATAATTATAGTGGTGAAAATCTCTCTTCTGAAAGAGATCGGTATATTTAAGAACATAAATTTAGTACAGAATATCACCTTTCTAAGCCTACCACATCCCCAAAACTCTAAAATCCTCTAGAACCGTGAATGATCGCGTTTGAAAAAGACTAACTGCACTTTTAATAAAACATATACATTAGTTTAATTACGCATCTGTTAAATTTTTATTTTCTTTCAGACCAGTGGAACACTAGTTTTGTTGCTTTAAAGTACGTAAACTAAAAAATATGCAACAAAATCATAGCTAGATTCAAATATACCTATTTTGAACGTGCTTACAGTTCATTAATTTGCTTAGAAAGTATTGTCTAAAAGAAATATTCAATAAATATTAGAAATCGAAAATTATTACACCGGGTCAATTCAATAAGGTCCAACTCTTCAAAACTATTTTAATTGATGAAAGTAGATGTCGATACATCAGAAAATGTCTTTTCGAGGAGCGGATGAAACGGGAAAGACAGAATCGGTGGGGAAAGCTAGTGGGTCCGTACTATTACGAGCTCAGGATGAAACAGGAAAAGCAACGGCACACGTTCTTTGTTTCATGACCAGGATGAACAGATGAAAGAAAGATCTGAAATGATTCAGATTTTAACATTGCGCCAAAGGGATTAAAAAATTTTTTTATCCTTTCGTCAAGTTCGCAGTTTATCTGTCTGCTCTTGAATTCACTCCTGCTAACACTATTTTTTTTTATTGCCTTTTCAACTTTATTATTAAACACCATTTTTTTCGCAATTAAACCCGATAAAATTCAACAGCAAAATAAAAGTTTTAAAAACAGTGTATTTTTAGAATTCCCGATAAGGATGTTAAGTGTTGCCAAATATCTTTTAACCCAAAAGGGCAATTATTCTAAAACCGCACTTTTGCGTCGAATCGCTGTTTTTGTCCGTTTCACTTTTGAAATAACTAGCCGTTGGATTCACTCCTCATTAAATTTAAAAGAAATATTGAATACCTTATGCAAAGAATACCTTATACAAATGAAAAATTGAATACCTTATACAAATGACAAAAAATTAGCGCGTCGAAGTTCAAGATATTTCATATCGGATATCTTTAGAATTCCTGATAAAATATTAAATGTTGCCACGTTGTTTTTTTTTATATTCGGTGTATTCTTTCTTTAAAAATAGCGATAACATTTGGTGACAGCATCCTTTTATTTGTGTTACCTTTTTTTTTTATATTAGCTATATTATTTCTACATAGCGATAGCATTTGGTGGCAACACTGAAAAGTGATATAGACAGAAAAGTGAGGTTTGGGGACTAATAGGATCTCTGGTACTAAAAGAAAAGAGAGTTGGACGTATTGCTGCTCAAAATGAAAATCGTACATATCAACACATTATACTTTGCCTTATTTAATAATTTCAAAGCATTTGAAGTTAAATAAATTGTTACTGCTTACTGTTTTGACACTGCTTGCCCTCAAATCCTTCATGGCATATGCAATAGTAGTCGTTTTCTGTGTTCACGCATGTTGCGCCATTTTGGCAAGGATTAGATTTGCAGCTTGGGTTCACAGCTGATATAAAAATATCAGAGAAAATATCATACATTGTTATATATCATAATATTACAATATAAAAATATCAGAGAAAAAACACAATCTATTAAAACTATTTTCATTAAACACCCTGATTTGCATAGATATTTATAAGGATGTAGTAAGCTTGATGAAAGTAATAATCACATATTTTAACTTAAGTTGGGCACTTACCTATATGGCAAGCATGTCCGACCCAGTTGTCCGTGCAAGTGCAGTGGAATGTGTCTCCCAAGTCCCGACAAGTACCTCCATTTTGACACGTTGTTTGATCGCAGTGCCCGTGTTCTAGACGCAAAATGCAATTAAAATACTGTTTTGTATCCATATATACACTTTGAATAACATGGATCATACATACTGCATATTATCTACTTGAAAACATACAGTTTAGTAGCGATATACACTGCAAAGCTTACTTAGATTACATGTCCTCCCTTTCCATCCATGTCTGCATTCACAATAAAATCCGGCTTCGGCATCGATGCACGTTCCATTGTTTAAGCATGGGTTAGAATCACATTCATTTTTTTCTGCAAAAATTTTCAGAGTTATTTTTCAATGGGGATGATTAAAAGGCTTTAATTCCTGACATTATAAACGCACTAAATAATAAAATAAATAAATTAAAATTTCCACATAATATGAAAGATTCCATATCGCGTTCATTTGAACAGAATAAAAACAGAGTATAAGGAATTCTAAAGTTGGAAAACATTTTGAAATCATGTTTTAAGATTCAACATTATTTGTCAAAATCATTTCTCTAAAAAACATAATTTTGAATAAAATATGCGGTAGTTAAGGTAGTTTAAGTTAGTTAATTACACAAGGTAAATAAAAAATTATGAACTTTACTACGTCTGATTAATTTAAACTGGCCAGATTTTCATGAAAACATAAATGCACCTTGAAATACGTCTTGAATGTGTCTTGAAACGCATTTAGGGAGCCATTATTAGAAAGAAAAGATTCTAGGTACAAAGTTATAGGAGCATTTTGGAATTGTAATCAAGAATAGGTTTGTATGTCTTTTGGCGCAAATCCCGTTTCATCCAATTTTCCTTCCCTCCTTATCACCTGCGCCCACCATCGGCCGAGCGGTAAAGTAGCTAAACACTGGTAGTTCGGTCCGAGGTTCGAATCCCGCGAACGGGCTGGCTGCATGGGCGTTTGGTTTTCCCCATGTGTAACGTGTATACGAGCCAGTGTCCCTTAGAAAGTCCTCCACAAAGGCATCCCTCCCCTTAGGCAGATAGCCCTAGTGTGCTTTGCCATAACTAAATACACCACACCACCTTATCACCTGCGCAGAAGTGACTTTTCCACAGTTCTCCCACTATCCTCCGTATTCTAGTCCTCCTTCCAGATGGGATAAATATATGTAACGTAATTTTCATTCAGTTATAATTAAAAATAATTTAGTGAACATAAGAAAATTCTCCTTTCCTAAATTATATCTATCTACCTATTTCTATATATATATATTTCTCTCTCTCTGCAGTGTAGTTGAGGAAGATTGTACTATTAAAATTTCATTATTAGATATAGCGCAAACGATTATTTTGCACCATGATAATTAATATATGGCGTTAGAAACATTTGTTATTAATTAAAATGATTTACATTAACTAAAAAACGACATAATTATTCTATGTAGACGAAAAAAATATTATAAATGAAGGGTATTTTCATTTCTATGTTTTAAGTATTTTCTTGTGCAGAAATATCTGGAATTTTTTTTTTTTTTTTTTTTTTTTTTTTTTTTTTTGAACGATAGAGAAACATCTAATAGTCATATTGCACAGTTGACATTCCAAGTAAAATAAAAAAAGAGCTGCCTTTCTTCATTTAGAATGAATCAATCATATTGATATTGAGGCACTAAAGCGCGGAGATCCCAATTGATATATAGATAATCAAAGAAAAATTTTTAATTTTAAAAGAAAAATTAATAAGCAGCAAAATTTTATTAGAAAATTATGTCGATGTTGTGAGCACTACGTTCATTCAGAAACTTAGGAGTTGCAATGTTAAAGTCATTGTTTTTAACTACACGTTTAGAAAAACTGATCCATATTCATGCAAAGTAACTCCTTAACGAAAACACTCGCTACTTGGAATTTTCCATATATATATATAAAAGTAGCAAGTAGTACACGAACAAGAGAGACCTATGTGGTCAAGAATTTTGCGCATTAAGCTGCTAAATTTTAAAATATTTGCAAAGAAGAGGAAAGTTCTAAAAAGCTATTGCTTAAAAGTACATTTGATACTGTAGTTTCAGAGTAAAAAAGTTACACCATGTATAAACAATAATACAATACCAAATAAGTAAAAGTTATTGCGTAAAAACTTAATGTAAAAATTACAAAACGAGATAAACTTCAAAAACAAAAAGGGATGAGAAAAAACTAATAAATTATAAATCAAAAATTTAAAATTTTAAATGATGCACGCAAATAATCAAAAAGATTTCAAAGACACAGAAAATATATACAAAGAATTGTAATAAATGGTAAATTAGCCCAACTCAAGGTTTAAGACGAACTTATCAAGGGAAAAGTGTGTTAAAACTCGAATCCAGCTAAATACCATTAGCACGTTTCGTCAAATGAAAACAATTGAGACCGAAAGCGGAATTTCATTAATAGAAACTATACAAGAAAGCTTAGTTAGGTGAATGTACAAATTAAAATAAATAGCTAAAAAGCTATTAGTAAAAAATTACACAATTTTAAAGGAGATCCCAATGAGCATGAGGAATAAAAACTTTGTTAAAGAGAAGAATTAAAAGAAACATAAAAAAGTCTCAAAATGAGAAGAATAAGGCAAACATACCTGCGTCCAAAGCATTGGCTTGATCAAAGCAAAGGGAGCAAAAATCGCTGAAAAAGGTTGCCGGAATTAGAAGAATTCCAAAGGAGTACTACAAGAAAAGAAAAGTAGTCAAAATACTACTTAGGTGAGACCAGGGATAAATAGTCCTGGGTGAGACGACGTTGAAGGGGGAAACAAACGTAATGACGCAGTAGCCAACGGTACGTAACGGCCAGTGGGGAAAACCTTGGATCCAAGAGTAGGGGGAGGGGGTTGAAGGTGGAAGACAGATGCTATTCTTACAAAATGGCGTCTTGTTCAAAACTGAGTCGTGAAAAAAATTGAAGGCGAAAACGAAATGGCGAAAATCTACGAAAGTGCTTATCTGGCCAAAACCAGTTGAAATTGGAAAAAATCAGCAATTTGTTAGTAAAAAGTCGTAATTCTTCGCGCTGGAGGGGCGGACAAGCTAGTTCGAAACAAAAATGGCCCTAAAAGGATAGGTATGGCCAGAAAACAGTGATATTAAATAATAAATTTAATAATTTAACTGAAGTTCTGTGCCATTTTAAGAGAGAAAAATTGATGCATTATTAAGAAACTATGTTACATTTTTACATTAGATCATTTGAATTAGCCATCCATCATCTACCTTTCCTCGAGATCTGAGTAAAAAATTTCATTATTCCAATCTAAATAATCTAAAATAATAGGTAATTACCAGCTTTTTTTAAAGAAATTTTTAATGATTGTTTTTGGAATAAGATTACTTTGCAAAATTTTAATAAAGTAGAGTACTTCTTCTTGGAGGAAGTCTGTGTTATTAAAGATTCTTTGAATTCTAAGAATTCCAGTTAGTGAGTTTTAGTGTATGAAAACTGAAATCTCTGCGTTTGTCAAAAATTTTAATAAGATTGTAATTCAGAATTTGAGGATCTAGGTAAACTATATCATTTTGTATTGCATGAGTAGTATTAATTTTGAGGCAAGTAGGGTAAATATTTGCATTTCCTAGTTTGTTAAAATTGTTAAAGGCAATAACATCCTCAATAAATCGAAAGATGTGTTGGTAATACTTGTGTTCTTCATCATTAATTGAACGAAAAATTTCAATTCTTGAGTGAAAAGGAAGAGCCCACAGATTGCAGTCGAGCAATTTCTGCCCATAGGAATTCCCTATACTTGTTTAAAGATAGTGTTATCAAATTGCAAATAATTGTTAAAAAGTACATTGTTGAGAAAAAGTTTCCATTCTTCTGGAGTAACTATTGTAAGGATCTGTGGAAAGAAACTGGGGAGAGTGAGTAGTCTACTATGAATTTCTTCTAAAGGTAAAGTAGTATAAAGGTTCTCGAAGTCGTAACATTGAATGCGTTCTGTTTTAAGCATATTTAAAGTCTCGAGAATTTTTTCGTTGTTATTAATCACCCAATTGCAGAGTTGATCTTGAAAATCTAAATTATTAATAATATCCAGAATTAGTTTAAGTATCTGGGCAAAGAGATAATCAATTTCTTTTAGAAAACTTTTAGTACATCAGCACATGTTCCAGCTTCACCTTTATCCTTGCGGTGTATATCACCCTAATTTACTAATTCCCCCCAACGCCTTAGGGCATATCTCCAACAGAGACAGTTAAAGTAGCAGAGGCTACTAATTGCCGCCTAACCATTCACTCGATTTCGATTTCTTAACGAGCAGAAAAGTGCAGAACTACCTTGCCTTTTAGGTGAACAAGGAAGAACCGATTGTTATTGAAAGGATAACCTATCTGCTTGTGGGGAGGAGGATTGAAGTGATTTGGTTAAAAAGTATGGGGGGTTGGGATTGAGAACCATCAAAAGGAGGTCGAATTGTTTCCCGTCGATGAGGGACGTACCCTCGGGAGAAATGTCCTTTGGGCGAAAAAGCATATGCAGGCAAGAATATACCTTTTTCCTTTCCGGAACTTCGGCTTTTGGAGCCCTTTAACCCTTTGGAGAGACTTGGTCAAGCTTAATTTTAAATGGAGTTGATATGAACAGCAATGAAATATTCAATCTTTTTATAAATGATCTCAAAAATGGGTAAATAATTCCCAAAATATATGTATTGCAACCTATTGAATTTCTTCGAGGAAAAGTAAACTAGGAAATCCTTTTGTGCGCTTATTTCCTTTCTGTAACACTATTCTTCTATGAATTTATGTCATTATAGATCAAATATCTTATTTAGCTAATTCATCAACATTTGGGCTGGTTTACCTAAAAGTATTATTAACTATACTCTATTTCATGACTTTTAGTACCATTACAGTATTTGACTAGAAGTAAATAATAAATGCTTTTGAAAAGAATATAAGGTGAAATTACTTTGAATATTACCATCATTGAAAACTGCACGTAAAAGATTTATGATGCAAGCAAACAAATTAGCTTCAGAAGTAGAAAAAAACAATATATATATACCAATATTACAAAGAGGTCCTTCATAGCCGTCACGGCATATGCACTGATAGGAGTTTAAGCCATCTAAACAAGTTCCTCCATTTCGACATGGATAAGAGGCACAGTCATTTATATCTGAAATAATTATAATAAAAGATTGCACTTTTAAACACGTCTAGTTAAATGCATATATTTTCAGTTATTATTAGTTATAATATTACATATCAATTTTTCACTAAAATTATATAAAAATTCAAGTCAACAAAAATGAAATTAATATATATGCTAATTTCATATGTATGCCATGGTTTAGGCCAACAGAAGTGTGATTACAAAGTACGATTACAAATAACTGAATTTAAATTCTGCATTCAAAATGTTTAATAAAGGATCAAAGCTTTAAAACTTAAAAAGACATAAATGTTATTTATAAAGCGTAGAGATATAAAAAAAATAGCAAACAGTATTAATATTTGAATAAAATAGTTTGTTTAAAGCTACTAATAAATATAGATAACATTATAACATTTTCTCTTCCATTTCAAATGCCAATCAAGAATTGCTGTTACTTCAGTAAACGGAAATACACATTTGCTAAAAGGCAAGACCATTTATGAAATCAAAAAGCTAATTAGCCAACAAAAACCGCAAGATAACAAAGACAGATACATTTTTTTTTTCTGTAAAAGGTTTTCAACTAAATTCTCGCTGATATTATTGAAATCTCAACATTAAATTTCACAGAAGAGTAGGCTATGATTACAATAGAGTAGGCTATGATTACACACTAGAAAGGCTATGATTACACACTATAAAGGCTATAATTACACACTATAAAGGCTATGATTAAAATGAAACTGGATAATAAAACCATTAAAAATATATAAAAATGTAGTTGCCCAGCAATACAAAATAATAACTAAAAAACATAGCACCAGAATCTTTTTATATCCCATTCTATCGATTTGTTACGCCAGGATGATTCTACTCTGCATTAAATTAAGTTTGATATATTATAAATTTATGTAGTTGGAATTAAAATAATTAAACTGAACTTCAGAATTTAGCAGGTAATCTTTATTTGGTGTTGAATTTTTTAAATAAAACAGAATTTTTTAAATAAAAATCAGTGATGACATACTTTCATGACAATAGCGGCCTGTATATCCAGGATCACAAACGCAGCTGAAATCAGAAAAAGGTTCACTAATACATTTTCCGTGTTCTCCACATACATTAGTCTTGATAATTTCTACAGAAGACTCATTGGATGAAATGACAGCTACACAGCTATCTAAACCTGGAAATGCATTTTAAAAGTCAATAAAAGAATGACCTATCAATTCAACACAAAATATTAGAAAGATCTTTTTTTTAGATTTTTTTTATTGTTTTTTGAAACCGGCCATTTAAAGCTTAGAAAGAAAGTTTAGTTATATATTAGAAATATATTTATCCAAAGGAAACTGGGTTAAACTATTTCAATTAACAGCCCCCCTTTTTTCTCCTCTGATAGCTCATCGTCAGGCTCGTTTTCGTTACAAATACGAATAATTTAATTTTTACACTTCATTTTTGCCAACGATGTTATTCTTGAATGCATCTGAAATCAAATGTGTCATTTTAATACAAGCAGAATTTTTAAAAATTTAAACTTTTTCCCATTTAATTCTTGTAAAGGAAATAATATGCCGCTGTAATTAAAGATAAGTACTATTAAAATTTATAGAATTTTAGTTAAAACACAGAAATATTTACAAGAATATGCTACTGGCGAAAACATGCCGTTTAAAAGAAAAACTATAAGCTCTCTAAGTTACTGTAAGCTTTCATTTTCAGAAATCCAGCTCTAAAACACTGATGACCTATTAGTCATGCTGACTGATAGACCACTGTCGAATTTCTACACAGAATGGCAAAACTTTAGTGGGAATTTATTGCTAGAATTTATTTTAAATAATTTATTTAATTCTTTGATGTTTTCCTTTTCGGGAGTTTTATTTTCAGAGAAATCCTTTAATCCAACACCAATTTTAATTGATAGAGTCCATCAAAGATTGTAAACTTTTAAAACTCATCTCCTACACAGAGATTTCATAGTCCATTACTTTTGCATGCAATACACAGCGACCTTTTGTATACATTATAAAAAGTGATTAGTTTCAAGTAATAAGAAAATGAAAAAAAAATGGATAAAAATTGTAGATGATTTATTTTCGATTTTACTATTTTAATATTATAGTTACTATTATAAGTTAATAGTAACTTTTTTAATAATTTTAACTTATAATAGTAAAAATTACTATTAGTTAATAGTAACTAATAGTAATTTTTACTATTATAAGTTAATTTTATTATTTCGGTTAATACTTTCACTACCTACAGATTACTTATATCCCAGCAAACATTTAACAAAGTCTAACGGTTCATTTTTGTAACTGGAAGTATATATCTACGACCAACGGTTGCAAAATTAAAGACTGGCTAATAACGCTTGTGGACGATGCGTATATATATTTGTGTCCTTGTGTTTTTTTATTGCTTGAATCATATCCAATTTTAAAATGATCATGAGAAGATTAAAGTTGTCTGTTGACCTAGCAGCCTTTGCAAATGTGATGAAAAAGGATTGGAGACCACTTGCCTCGCATATTCTGGGGCTGGATATTTTGAAGCTAAAATTTCGTAGTGATATACTTAGCTTTCTAATAAGTTTTACTACTCAAAATTATATGAGCAGTTATATTCTTAGGAAGAATTAGACATCCAGCTTCTATTTCCGTAATTAAATTATTAGCTTGAATTGTAGTTTCTAAATGAATATTCGGTGACCACAGCTTTACTGGCAATTGATAACGTAGATCAATCGGTTGACAAAAATGAGAAAGTTAATAATTAAAATAATAAACAAACCTCATCTATAATAATGTGCAGATGAATGAATATGCAAATGATTTTTAACGTTATTTAATAATTTTCAGCGCCATATTAATTTACTGACTGTGATAATATATTTTCCTAACATTAGGTACGCAATTAATTGCCTTACATGGGTTCGTCTTGCGACCTTTCTTTAATTATTATATTTTACTCTAAGTAGAGAATCAAATAAAGAGATATTTAAATTAGACGGCATTATAAATATCTGTCCTATTTTAATAAGACGGATATTGCCTCAGAAATTAGATTATTACCAAATGATTAACAAATTAATAATTTTTTAGTAGTCTCCGATATTAGTACTTTGAAAAATACTAATATTACATGCTTATATTAAAGCACTTAGCTAAAAAATGAAGCGATCTAACAAAAATAAGTAACCGTCTTTAAGATATATTGATCATTATAAAATGATGCATTCTTAATCGTAAGTCTCGTTTTAATGATTTTTAAAAAAGCTGGGCGAAACGTATATGGAGAAAGGTAACTTTCTACAGTAAAAAACATCTTTCATTTGAATTATTGAAGAAAAATGAGAAGATTGGTTCCTTATTTTGCAATACATCTATTACCTTCGCAAGATAGTTGAGAGCAATCATTTCTTCGATAAGAACAATTCTTTCCAAAGAAGTCGTTACGACAATGGCAGTAGTAATCTCTCTGCATATTGAAACAAGACGCACCGTTTCTGCATGGATTAGGATTGCAGAGATCTACGTCAATCTGAAATATATAATATAAATATATTAGTGAAATAAAACACGGCATTTAAATTACAAAGATAACGTATTTGAAGTTTTAATCATGTCTCTTATTTAAATGGCATTTAAACTGATCACTGACAGCAGGGCCGGCACTAGACTTCACCGCTCTGCCACAGCCGTCCGTCTAATTCTAAACATATTACACCCCTAAATTCGGCTGCTCGTTGAGCCCAAGCCATGAAGGTAGGAAGTAAGACCTCCATGGCCCAATCCTCCTTTCCTACCTCCATGGCCCAAGCCGGCTGCACCGGCCCTACTAGTTAGTTAACAGATCATGTGAGCTGCGAGTCTTTCACGTTTATTATCTTACTCTTCTAAGACTTTGGATCGTGTAAAATGCATTGCAAGTATCAGAAGAAATACTTCTTACTTTCTAGATAAATATTAGTAATCTTCTTAGTATAAAAGTTTTAACTCGCTTCAGATTTACGATTTTCTATTACCAGTTCTTATTTTATTTTAAAAATTCAGTTAATTAATTCAAAAATTTCAGTTTATTAAGCAGTTCTAAAATCCACACCAATATTGATGCAATAGATATATTTTAAAGTCGTTATTTACTTTTCCATTTCTTTTTTCTCCTTGACATTTTTTTAAAATTATTTAACATTGCTACAGGCTCCATATTTTGACGTTTGTGTAAGTCTAAAAAATTTTACAGCTTTGCATTACATGCATTCATCCGCGGAATTGGGGAATATTTCCACTGCGCGAAACATCAGCCACAGCCGTCCGTCTAATTCTAAACATATTACACCCCTAAATTCGGCTGCTCGTTGAGCCCAAGCCATGAAGGTAGGAAGTAAGACCTCCATGGCCCAATCCTCCTTTCCTACCTCCATGGCCCAAGCCGGCTGCACCGGCCCTACTAGTTAGTTAACAGATCATGTGAGCTGCGAGTCTTTCACGTTTATTATCTTACTCTTCTAAGACTTTCTAAGACTTCTTTTTCAGGAATTAATTTCCAACGTAGTTTGACAGATTGTTTCTAGGATCGTGTCATTTACTGCTTAACAAACTGAGTGATCTGACACGAAAATACGCACTTTTTAATAATTTAAATATAATTTGATTTTTTTCAATTGTTTCTCTTTATTGCTATAACTTGAAATGCATTAAATTTATAATATATCCTTTAAAGTTATTATTTTAAAGCAAAAGATGTGAAAAATGAGCAATACTCTCGTTATACGCGCATCTCTCGTTATACGCATGTGAAAAATGAGCAATATCTCGTTATACCGTTACACCACGAAGGCATGCTGGAAGGAGGAAGAAAATAATCCAATTGATAATTATAAACATTTGCAGCATTATCAGCGACTACTAGGCCACACGATTGATTGTTTTGTGTGGCCTTAATGTCTTATACATCCCGAGACGTCATTTCCTTTGATGAGCTTGTCCCAAGAAACGGCTAGAAGAAGTGATTGGTCAGTAAATGAGCAGCGTTATTTGATATTGGAGCGTCTTTAAATCGAGCTGTCGTTTCTAGAACGGAATGCGCTCACATTTGTCTAAAATGAAGAATCGATTCACATCGCGTCTTCAATTTAAAAATGTCTGATGGAAACATTCGATGAAGACAGACTTATTATGAGGTACTACAATATCATAGAATGCGCATCATTGCAACATTTTTCTGGATTGAATTAACATTTGCCACGTTATCAATATTACATCACAGTATTCTTAGACACAGCCAGCAACCCGATGTTCCTGTATACGCTTAGTTCGCACGTTACGTTTCCTTTTGTCTGTATAATGTGGTTTTACGAGATGTGACAATGAAAATCGAGATTAAGTGCGTAGCTTGAAAATAGACGGGAGTTCGCAACAACTGTTTTGGTGACGCCATGCCACACACCTCCTCTATCCATGTGGCCAGTTTCGACTTCACCGACCACGCCAGTGGAGAGTACTGCGTCATTGAGTGAACACGTGCAACTGCATTCTGCCGGAAAATGTCTAATGTAAAAACCGAACAGCGAATCAACATCAAGTTTCTTGAGAAACTTACGAAATCAGCCACTTAGGAAACATTTCAAATGTTAACCGAGCTTATGGAGACGAAACTTTGTCTTATGTACGTGTGTTTGAATGGCATAAGCGGTTTTTCAGGGGGAAGGGACAGTGTGGAAGATGATGAATGTGCTGGGCACGTTCATCATTATTGAATGTGTTTCCAGTGGTCAGACTGTTAATCAATACTACTAAATTAAAGTACTAAAACGACTTCGTGAAAAAATTAGGAAAAAAAAAAAGGCCACAGTTGTGGAGTTATGGATGGCTGTTGCACCAGGACAATGCACACGCTCACATGGCCCTATCTGTAAACTCTTTCTGTTCAGCAAAAGTATCACTGTGATGGGGCATCCTCCTTATTCACCTGATATGGCTCCATGCGACTTTTTTTTATTTCCTAAAGTTAAATCTTACTTAAAGGGAACCCATTTTACCTCAGCTGAAGAGGTCCAGGCAAAAACGGAGAATCTCCTGAAGGGCCTTCCAAAAACCTCGTTCTAGAACTGTTACCAGCAATGGCAGCACCGAATGCAGACGTGTGTGAATGCTGAAGAGAACTTTGAAGGTGATAATGTCGCAGAGAATTGATTCTGTAAGCACTGATTTATTGGACCAGTCTCTTTTTTTTTGTGTGTGTGTCACACCTTGTATATCACACGCCAAATTAGGATGCAGTCGTTGTGTCTCATATAACCACTTTCCTGTAATGGTCATACGTGGCCCGCCGCCGGAGATGTGTTTCCACTGATGCTTCATTATATTTTCTGAAAGTGCTTTTGATGAAACATATTGTAGGGTTTTTACATTTATTAACTCCATTACCACATTATTTTATCTTTACTGTCACTTCTACTTTCGTTTATCTCTATTACTGGTGGACGATAATTTGTCACCACCAGAATTTGGTGATTGCATTCCCCAGTCATCTTTTAAGAGTGGGAGTCTGTAAGATATTTTCTACCAGATTATCGCTTGCCTTCGTGGTGTGATTGGAAAGCAGGTCTGGCTAGCAATTGGAAGGTCAGCAGTTTGAGTCACGGAGATGGACTGCACATTTTCACCTTCCTTTTTTCAACAAACCTCTAATAAATATACGGAGAAACTTCTGCTCTTTCGAGAAACGATATTATCTTTTGAATTTTAGATATTATATCTAAATATCTAATAAATAAATCTAAATATCTAAATATCTAATAAGCAAATAAAAATTTTCGATGATAAGGAAAGGGTTTTTTATATAGGTTTCTTAATTGAGAAAAGACTTTAAAATATCAGTTAAACATCAAATTTCAGTGTAAGCACAATATTCCTAAATTTACTCATTAATCAAATACTGATTACTCACCTCACATTGTAATCCTTTATAACCAACAGGGCATATGCATCTATATCCTGCTATAAAGTCAACACATTCTCCGCCATTAATGCAAGGATTACTGGCACATTCATTAATATTCGTTTGGCAGTCCCTTCCTGTAAACCCAGGAAGGCATGCACAATGATAGTCATTTACTAAATCTATGCATGTTGCTCCATTCTGACAATGTCCAACGCAATCATCGATATTTATCGTACAATTTTTTCCTCCCCAGCCATCTTGACATTCGCATTCATAATCGCCTTCATGGTTGTGGCATCCCACAGCGTTTACACATGGCTGCCAATCGCACTCATTAGCATCTGAAAAACATTTACGTATTAGAAAATTAAAATATTATTACTAATTTTAATTTTATTAAATTAATATGAATTAATTAAATTAATCTGAATCTAATTATTTTATTAAAAAAATCTGAACGAAACTCTGTTCTTCATTGTAGCAATGAATAATGTGCCCCAAACAAGTATTTCCTGTACTTACCATCTAGACACGTGTCTCCTTCCCAGCCTGGTACGCACAAACAGTGATAACCATTGACAAAATCTATGCATGTTCCGCCATTAAGACAGGGGGCCGACTCACATTCATTCACATCTAAAAATAAATTATTTCTAGTAACTGAAGTTCGAAAATTCGTGTTAATTAAAAGAAAAAAATAATAAGAAGAAATTCCCTTGACTTAGAGAGAAAATATTATGAAAAATAATAAAAGAACTAATTTCCATCAAAATTGAGGAGAAAGTGCAGTATTCTAAAGTACCTTACTTTATTAGAGAAAAATAAAATGCTTACTTTGTTGACAACGATTTCCAGTCCATCCTTGACTGCATGTGCAACTATATGTGGAATTTATTTCTGAACACGTACCACCATTCAAACAGGGATACATTACGCAAGGATTGTCAACTGAAAAGAAAATTGTAACCATCAAGGAACGAAACTAATACTGAGTTTCGCTTAAATTTGTTGAAAGCAAACCTAAATTAAAATCATTATTATACGGTTCTTTTAAACCTGGCTATTAAAATGGTATTTATGATTTTGACATAAGCATAATTTTTCTGTTCCGAATTATAACGTATTTCTCCCGCCTTCTTGGCGTGCCTTCGTGGTGTGAAAGTCTGCACGCTGGGCGCGTATTCCAGAGGCTCGCGGTTTGATTCCCGGCGAAGGCGTTTCTAATCTTTCATCTTGCTTGTTTCCAAAAAAATCCTAATGTCTCTACAATGGCGCCCGAACTAAAAGGGTATTATATGATGATTCTCCTCACCCAGGATTTGGCGATTGGTTACCCTAAAAATCCCAGTCGCTCTTTAAAAGGGGGAGTATATAAGGTATTTCTCCTGCCTTCTTGGCGTGCTTTCGTGGTGTGGTGGTCTACACGCTGGGCGCGTATTCCAGAAGTCCGTGGTTCGATTCCCGGCGAAGGCGTTGCTAATTTTTCATCTTTCCTGCTTCCAAAAAAATCCTTATGTCTCTACAGAATATTTTGATAAACTAGATCTAAATTTGGGGAAAATCCATGTTCTTGCATTAAGCTACATTTATGTGTAAACGCTTTAGTTAAATGGAGAACAAATGTTTTACTTTGTGCAGTAACAAAATTATTATACCTAGAAACAAAGCAATCCTGAAATGTTCACAAAAGAACTCATCAAAGTACTGTAAATAAATTTTTTTATTAACATCAACCACTGCATTTTGAAGTGATTTAGCCGTTACGTTCAAAGAAGAGAAAAGCGTTTTGCTTTTTGTACATGCTTGCAAAAAACCGTGAATTTGTCAAGCAAGCTTTCTTTTTTTATTCTTAAGCAGCTCTGGGCAAATGTTATTGAGCACTGAAGTTTGATTAGTAAATTGCATGTTTAGTAAATTCAGTTTAGGGCAGAGAGATTAAAATTCCGAGCATACGCTTTCTGCATCCGCACTATTAGGTCATCAGTATTATGCTGTATTGATTTTGAAACTTGCAATAGCCATTTGTATTCCACGAAGTTATGAAAACACTCACACTAATTGTTACCTAACTGAAACTGGTAATTTATAGTATAATCTCTTATAATTTATAAAAATCAATTATTAAGACAGATGTTTAGTTTTATGTACCATTTGTTACATACAATTATTCTTATTTACAAGACCGCGGTATGAGTACATGCTGCCTTTAAACGAATACTACTTCGTCGCCCCCTTCCATTAAAATTCAATAATATTAATTCAGAAGTCAAACAACAAAAATCAGCGTTATATTTTCAAATTTTTCACAGGTCTTGTTTCGATGGTTTTACCGAACCACCATCCTCAGCTGCAAAAACGCAAATGAACGAGATAGGATATAATGATCAGATAAGATAAGAAAGCCTTGACAGAAAAGCTAGTGGCGCCATCTGTTCATGAAACCAGAACTAAAACATAATTTCTTTAAAGGCCGAAGGCAAAGGAATTAGGATCGTTAACTAGAACAGAAAGATTTTTTGAATGCGAAATTCCTTTATAAAATCCAGTTCTCCAATGAAAGATGTTTCTTGAATAATTTTGGCAGCAGAAAAATTGAAAGTGTGATTTTCGGACCAACAATGTTGGGCAATAGAAGACTTCGGTGTTTCCTTTTTTCTAACATATGCCTCATGTTCCTTGACGAGCGAAATTTAAAGGCTCTCTTAGTTTGGCCAATGTAAATTAAACCACACTGGCAAAGAATCCTATAAATACCCCAGGAATTCATATCCGGAATGGGGTCCTTGAGTATGGAACTCGGAATTTTATTGATGGGAGAATAAATGACCCGAAAGTTAAATTTCTGCAAAATATGTGCAACTTTATAACTAATTGATGGAAAGAAGGAAATGACAACAGAATTTTTATAATCTCATAAAACAAGAGTGTGCCTTTTAGTGTGTTGAGATGAGAATTTTTTAACTGCTTGATTAATAATGTTGGGTGAAAGAAATTATGTTTTAGTTCTGGTTTCATGAACACAAGGCGCCACTAGCTTATTTTCTGTCGAGGCTTTCTTATCTTATCTGATCATTACATCCTATCTCGTTCATTTGCGTTTTTCCAGCTGAGGATGGTGGTTCGGTAAAACCATCGAAACTAGTCCTGTGAAAAATTTGAAAATATAACGCTGATTTTTGTTGTTTGACTTCTGAATTAGTATTTGTTCGGCGTGTTATTGTGTCTTAATTGAATAATATGTTCAGAAAGCCCTCATATTAGTAATTATAATTTACATATATATGTAGCAGTATAATTTATATATATAAGAAGAGTAATTATAATTTAATATACAAGTAGAATTTTGGTTTCCATTTTAAAAAACTCCCAGCAACACGTATGGGAATTAAGGACAGTATCCGCAATATTGGGTAAATTTGAGATAATTCGACCAAGTTTTTATTAGTAATCATTATATAGTTGCAATATTTAAAATATAGTTATTGTCTTCATCACGATTCTTTTCAATGTAGTGGTATATCCGTGCGGAAGAAAAGAACAAAACTGAAAAAAAGAAGGCCGCTTTTTTAGTTGTTTTTGGCGTTCCCATATTAGTTCTCAGTGTAGATTTAAAACTGAACTGTGTAAAAAACGTACAGGAATATCTCACCATACAATCAGTTTGTCTGCCGAAAACGAAAAAAACTAAAACCGTTTCTAATTCAAATTCTGGTTCTGAGAATCAGTCTTCGACGGAAAATCTCATTTAAATACCGGAAACCACACAATAAATACGGAGAGAAAAAAGTGCTATTTAAGTAAAGGTTTCGCAAGTTGACTTTAGAGCGTGTTCTGCCTGTTTGAGTCCACCTTGTTACAGTGACTTAATAGCGATTTGATCCTATGCCGTTGAATGCTTCTAGTCATTAGACTTGTCTCGCCGCCTTTTACGAGCCAGAGCTTTCCTGCGCATTTACTTTATCCTGTGAGCAGTTAGGCTAGTCTAAATTACTGTTAGGCTAGTCTAAATTCACCATTATTTGTTTAAGTTAAACCAGAGGTCAACTGTTAATTCTTTGTGATCAAATAAAAGGCCTATTTATACCCTTCTTCTGACTTTGTCTGCCTACAGTTAAAGATACGAGGATAATTCCTCCACAGTCTCTCTAGAGCTCGTGAGTTCATGAGACCCAACCATGCGAGACTCTATAAGGCTTTAGCAATGCACTGGCATACATCTGATTATTTCTATTTTAAGGTCCGCCTTACCATAGAAACTGAAAGTTTAACTAAATGAAAAATAATTTCAGACGTTTCAAAACTGCTTGACCCTCTTGGTCTTTGGACAGCTAGACTTAGTTAGCATGAAAAACTTTCAGATGAACTAAAATCAGAATACCTACACCACACATTTTTTGATCTCAAAAGGTTAAAAATAGCACGATATGTAATGATTGAATAATATTTTGCTACCGTTCAGCACTATGGATTTTCAGATACATCTGAAAAGGCTTATGGAGCTTCCATATATTTACGATGTCGAAATGAAAATGGAGAAACAAGTACTCAGCTTTTTGTCATCAAAGAGCCGTGTCTCACCATTAAAACAAGTGCCACTGCCTCGCTTAGAATTATGTGGAGCTGTTCTATTGGCCAAATTACTAAACAAGGTTTAGAAGTCTAAACATGAACATCAGTTCAGTGCATGCTTGAACAGATTAATAAATAGTTCTATCATGTATTGAAGGCTTGCCGAGAAAATGGAAGACTTTCGTGGCCAATCGAGTTTCACTATTTCAAGATCTTATTCTTACTCATTGCTAGAATCACGTTTCTTCAGCTCAAAATCCAGCTGATATCATTTCTAGAGATTTCTTATCTTCAGAAGTATTGCAAACAACCGGTTGGTGCAACAGTTCAAGTTACCTAAGAATGTCCGAAGAACACTGGCCAAAAACTAAAAATCAAGACATCTCTGACGAGAAGATAAATGAAGAAAGGAAATCGAAATGTGAGATGTATATTGCACTAATACAAATTATGCCCAAACTCATATTTTGAATTTAGCTAAATAAATTAACTAATAAACTACAAATTAACTAAATAAACTACAAATAAAATTTATCGTATTACAGCATGGATAAAGAGATTTATTCGTAATGTGATGCTGAAAAACAAAGACAGATATTAAGTTAGTTTTAAATGCTGATGATATTGATGAAGTTCATAACTACTGGCTTAAAAGGATTCATGTCGAACGTTTTCCTGAAGAAGTCAGACTCTTGAAAATGAATAAAAAAAAACTAGAGATTTAAATCCATTTGTTGATGATAAAGGTACACTCCAGGTAGGAGGGTGACTACAAAGAGCAAATCTAAGCTTTTATACAACGTATCCGATCATTTTATCCAAGAAACACAGGTTCTCTGAATAGATCGTAAGAAATGCCCACGAGAAGGTTCATTTTGGAATTTCTGACACTCGAACTCAAATTTTGGATCTTTAAAAGTGGACAATTTATCAACTCTGCTTTTAACAAATGTGTGATTTGTAAAAGCTTCAACGTACGTCCTTTGTAGCTCAACTAACAGCTCCTTTTCCTGATTTCCGAACTGAACAATCTCAGCTATTTGCTGCAGTTAGTCTGAACTTTGCTGGACCGTTGCACATAAAATACAACGAAACTAAACTTGTAAGGATCTTAAATTTTACTAACGTTTACTTTTATTTTAAAATTTTACTATCCTCTCTTATTTTCCACTTCCGGCCAGAATAAATGCGTTAACTTGTTTATGCAAATTGTACTTGCTAACGCTTAAGTATTTAAGTTGTAGCTTTTGCCAAGAGCAGAGTTAGATGGGGAGAGAGTGAGCCGTCTTTACGACTATACTTCACGCAAGTTTCAATCAGTTGCTGTCTCCCTTTAACGCCATAGGTTTTAGTCCTCTTCAAAGCTAAAGACGTATTGTAGTTTTCCGCAGTTTGCGTACTACATACGTAATAATTTAAAAGGCCAGTCTTAGCATTAGTCATTATTGTACAGCACTCAAAGTTAACTCTTATTTTTAGTTAGTTAGTAGTTTTTATATTTTACGTTCAGACTACAAGTGGTTGGTCTTTGTATCCCTAAGTGCGGGAGCGCCTGTAATATCGTGGAAAATAAAGCGTAATTTAACCCTTCTCATCTTGTCATCCTTGTTATACTCCATAGGACATAGTTTGTAGTCAAACTCACTATCTAATCAGGACACGTCATGTTTACCAACCAGATTAATAGAAATATCTTACTGTACACTTGCGATGTCAGAAGAGCGGTGTATTTTGAACTTGTCAGCAATCTATCAACTAAAGTACTTCTTTTGGCACTCAGAAAATTTGTCACACGAAGAGGTTTATGCTCAGTAATCTTCACAGATAAAGCAAAGATGTTCAAGCGAGATGAAATGGATCTCAGAAACATGGTGGTGTTACGAAAGACATATACGCTCTTTCAAAACCACTTTAAGAAAGGCTTTAAGCAAAGCTTTTCTCAATCTCGATGGAAACCTGTGCTGAACTCAAGCCCCATCACTTTTGCGAATGCAGGTCCTTATCCATTGACCTCCGGTCATTTCATCTTAGGAAATAGACTCTGAACTTACCTGCAATTAAATTATCGGGAGAAGTTTCAAAAAGTACCTGGGAGACATTAGTGAAAAGATTCAATTATCGAGAGACTTTTCAGATCATTTTTGGAAAAACGAATATTTGTTAGATTTTGATATCACCAAATTCCATTAATTCCCTTAACAAATCTAACAGATTCAAAATTGGAGACACAGTGATTATACAAGATGACAAACTACCGCGAAACTATTGTAAACTAGGTAGAATTATCGAAACATCTCTTGGTAAAAATGGTTTAATAAAATCCTGCTCTGTAAAAACTGACAGTCAATAATTAAAAGACCAATAAAACATTTATCCAACCTACAGGTCCAAAATTGATATATTTATTATTTGACTTAACTTTGTAATTCAAACTGTGCTGCGGCCCACCAGCGGCCGAGCGGTAAAGTCGCTGAACACTGGTAGTTCGGTCCGAGGTTCGAATCCCGCGAACGGGCTGGCTGCATGGGCGTTTTCGTGGTTTTCCCCATGTGTAACGTGTATACGAGCCAGTTTCCCTTAGAAAGTCCTCCACGAAAGGCATCCCTCCCTTTAGGCAGATAGCCCTCGAGGCTTTGCCATAATCACACACAAACAAACAAACTGTGCTGCATTTTGTTTTTGGTTTACAGTAAAGCATTTGAGAAGTTTTCAATGTATACGTGGAAACCTGCTTAATTTTTTTGACATATAAGTATTATTAATTGAGTATTAATTTAGTTAACATATATTTTTCGAATTAGTGTTTGTTAAGCACTCTTTTAGTTTTAATATAGTATTTCTTTCTGTCGTTTGAGATTTTAACATCGAATAAATTCATGTGTTTAAGATATTACATTTCAGAATTATTAGGCTTGTTATTGTTATCGAATCAAATAACATATTGATATAACTTGAATTATTATCGAAGTAAGTAATTATTACAATTTTGTTGTAATATTTAAAATTTTACCGAATAATATTCGTATTTAAAATTTTACCGAATAATACTTTTGTTAATATTTGGACCCTCTGATGAAGAAAGTGTTCATCGGGGGGGGGGAAGATGTAGAATATTTGAAATTTATAGTGGCGCTCGAAGGGAGCCATATGTAATGGCCACCCATCTTGCTTGCTCAGAACGCCTTTGGACGGCAGCAAAGAAGGCTACCGATAGAATTTGACGGCAGCAAGGAAGGCTGCCAATAGAATTTGAAGGCAGCAAGGAAAGCTGCCTTAGACATATTATTTTGCCACATAAAATTATTTATGTGAATGTCTTAATTTTAGAGTATAATTTAAAGATTGTATACATTGTACACAACTTCACAAAAAGAATTATGGAGACTCCATTTTTGAACCCCGAGATTATTAACTCAACAGTTTCTGAGTGACCGTACACTAAGGCATGAAATGGAGATTTTAAAGTTAACATCTTTATTTCATAAGCACTATAGATCTTAAATATATTCCTAATGGAATGTTAAATGTATTCAGTATTTTAAGGAAAACAAAATGTCTGAAGCAAAATAAAACTTTATGGAATGTGATCATCATTATTAAACGCTTTAAAAAATTATGCACACCAGAGTATACGTTTTAAAAGTTGTTAAGTAACTGGAATGACTTGGAAATTATTGAAAAACCAATACTTATATACACTTATAAAGATAGTATGAATTTACCGATCTCGCAGTTATTTCCTGAAAATCCCTTTAGACATCGACATCGGTATTCGTCAGGTGCAACGTTTTCACATGTGCCGAAATTCTGACATGGATAATGATTACCACAGTAATTGAGATCTAAATACACATAATAAAAATATTAATATCAAATTGGCATGGAACATTTAATTTAACTATATTAAATACAATGTAGTTGCAAATAACTCTTCATAAAATATGATTTTGTTTTTTACACCGACGAAAAGTTTAGAAGTTAAGGAAGATAAAAACAGTTTAGAAGATAAAAACTTTTATTACTGAAGCAAAAGACCCATTATTATTTTTAGGAAATGCTTTCGTTTCATTGTGCGATTTTTTAAAGACAGAAATTGAATCTTCCCTTTATGTGCCGAATAAGTACTACCTTTCAATACTACATCAGTCAATCTGAAAATATCATCCAGATCTCGAAGAAGCATCAAATTATAGTTTACAAATAACTCATTCCAATTAAACGAAAATTATGTATGCATGCGTTCATTATAAATTCTGCTTTACTTTTCGAACGCTACTGGGTGTTTCTAAATAACAGTAACATTTAAGACATGCGTACAGGCCTATTATACAGTAATGAATACATACCGCAGTCCGCCGATTTTAACTGCAGAAGCCCAATCGTTAAGACACGCAAAGAGTAATTTCCTTGGTTTTGCTGTGACATATTAACAAAATAGTTTCTTTTAAAACATCTCGTGTGAAGCCATCCATCCTATAGGTAGAATTCTTGAGTGCTTTACCATAATTAAATACCGAACTAATCAATTAACATTTATTTACGTCAAAAGTACTATTTTAAATTTTTTATAAAAGTCAAAATGATTGCATTTACACTCTGGCAATGATTAACTATTATTTAAAGTGTTTTCCGGTTATATGATTTCAATAAATCACTTCCTATTTTCAAAAGTAAAAGATTCATAATTTATTTAAAAGTTGTGGAAATCTTACCTTGATCGCAAAGAATGCCACCCCAATTTACATCACAGATGCACTGCCATGGACTGCCATTGCAATATCCGTGTATACAGCCTGGATAAGGAACGCACTGATCGCAAAATTCCGATTTCCAACCATGTCTACATCTGAGGAGGAAAACAGGAGCAGAAAAAAAAATCAAGAAAAATAAATGATAATATGATGATTATTTTTCACAAAAAATGCCCTAAACGATATTTGTTTGACTAATTTGGATCAGGCCCAAAGAAGTACTTAAGTTATAAATTATCTCACTGTCTCATGATTACAGCATTATACATTACACCTTTTGAAACATATGACAACTTCTCATTGAGACTACACACCATCACTTAATTTTTTGTAAGTTTATGCTCAAATGGAGAAACTGAGGAAAAAAATTGTGTCCCTATCTCTGCTCTTTTAGTACACTCCTTTTAAATTCTGAGCTTTATTTTTACTGCGCTTTACCTACTTCAAACATTTTATGTATGGGTCTTTATTTTGTTGGCTAAATTAGAAGGTAAACTTACCAGTAGTGGGCCACTTTAGGACATTCAGTCAATATCTTAGAGACTTATGCAAGATTTATGCATAAAAATATGTCTTAGAGACTTATGCATAAAAATATGCTTATGCATAAGCATATTTTTTTAGCATCGCCTAAACACTTAACTTTTCATAATTATCACATCAAATTAGGGAAAAGGGATAAAATTTGTGTACTTGATGTCAGCCACTCAAATAGTACGTAAATTCCTGAAAATTGTACTATTTAACTAACTGCTTGTTCTTACTCACTTTACGATCTGCATTCTTCCACTAATTTTGTGGAAAAAATATGTCACATCATCAATTAGTATACTTATGAAGAGTCTTGAGGAATATATGATTAAAAAATTGCGATCATAATATAGCAAACGGCAGAGATAGTATGCCTCCTGTGTAGGAAAATAATTATTAATTATTAAAATTAGAGTAAAACAAGATAAAAAAATTATCACTTTCAAATAAAATATGAAAATCTAATAAATATTGAAGATAACAGACTTCTAAGTTTTTAACATAGTTATCAAAATAGAAAAATACTGCATGTTGAAATTAGTCTTTAGAACAATTGAGATGTTTCGTCAGATATAAAAGAAACAGCGCTCTCCATTAAAAAAGCATTTACATTTTTTTAAAGTATTTGTTGAAAACAGGTTATGTTCCCCGTAGTTAGCAACCCGGACCACTGATATGTTATAACTTTATTAAGAATTAAAGAAATTTTAGGCGTTCTGTCAAAAATAAAATGTGTTCTGCTATTTTAGAAAAAGCAATTAGATTTTTCAAACCATCCGTTGAAGCACGTAATCCTTTTCCATTAGCAGTTTGGGCCTTATAGGAATTAAAATGAATAGACCATAGTAAAAATGGTAGCAATAGATAGAGCATAGTAAAAATGGTTTTTTTTTTTTTTTTTTTTTTTTTTTTTTTGAAAGTCGATAGTTATTTGAACAGAATACTTTTCTCTTTTCCTGTTACCCAAATACAGTACAACACTTCATGAAGCTTGGATAGTTAAGTGTTTCTATTCCGAAGCATTTTATTCACAACCAATATCTGAATGTGAAAAATCTGACACATAAACACGTAAAGAACATTTTTGTTATTTTGACTGCTTTCATAAATCCTAAATACCAAACTGTCTTTGGGGGAAGAAATGGGATGATGAAAAGCAGCAGCCCATTTTACTTTAAGCAAAAAAGGGAGCATATTCTGTAATTAATGATTGGTTTACAATGAAAGAAATTTTTAAAATAAAACGAATTTTAATACAGTAACTTCAAGGTTTTGGTTCTTGAATGTCTCGTTGTACTACCTTCTGAATATCTGAAATTATTTACACAATTTGATTGTATTTCCTGCAGCAAAGGAAAGATGAAACCAAACAATTCCGTATATTAAAATATGTTAATGGTCTTAGAAACGCACTTTACTTTGTTTAAATAGTGTTCCAAACGTTCAAAAATTTGCCATTTCATATATCATAAATAACAGGTATTTCAAATTATACAGTCCTATCCAACAGCAGCTTACATCAAATTTCCAAAGTTATGGAAATTCCATAATGAATATTAGTCACAAAATGTTTTAATGATGACACCCTTATACTGTCACATGTAATATAGCGTTCGAAATTTCAGCTGTAATTTATGCTGTTAGATGTAAAGGCAAGCTTACAAGGAATTTTCCTTCTTCGCTGAGCATGCTTTCGTGGTGTAATTGGTAGCAAGTCCGGCTACAAGTCTGAAAATCCGTGGTTCAAATCCCGAGTAGAGCATATCTGACATTTACAGTTTCAAAAGAAAATCTAATAGTTCTACTAACTAAGGCTTGAAGGAGAATTTATTAAAAACCTTTATTATACGTATATAGTAATTAATTAAATTAAAACAACCAGAACATTTTTTTGGAAATGTCGAATGGGAGTGAGGAAAGCGAAAGAAACAACTACTTAAAAGCGTATGGCTAAAATTAATGTAAGTGATTGAAAGTGGTAAGTAAAAACATTAAAGTTATCATAAATAAGTAAATTGTTACTAATTAAATTATTTTAGACCGACTTTTCAGAAGGTGCAATCTAAAATTATTTCATCAGTCAACAATATAGAAATTCTAAAATAAACGTTCTGTCTTTCTCGATAAATTGAAAATACTTAATGCTATTAAAATAATGAGTAAGCTTTCAAAAAATCAAGAATAGCACCTGTACGGAAGCCTGTTATTGCAAATTTTAAACTATGCAAATGAAATTATTTTTAAAACAAATGTTAGAATTGGGCGAAAGTCTACTTAAAACCAATGTAAGATTATCAAATACGAAAATAAATCAATTTCAAAGTGAAAATACTAAATTTAAAAAATAAAAAAGTGATAATTACATCTAGAAAATAATTAATAAATACTTAATTTAATTTCACGTCCATATTTACAGTGATTATATTACAAATAAAAATCAAACAAGGCGCAAAACTTACGCGACATTTGGAGAGCAATAAAACCAACAAATCTTCCGTTTAGTGGCAGAATTTAATAGAGCTGCCAGTAGAAAGTCTAACTATAGTTATCTTTGTCGAAAAACTACACTCTCTAAATAATTTGGCGATTTTAAACGTAGGTACAATACTAACTATAGGGAATATAGTCATTTGCTTTTTGAGGAAAAGGGATTGCTAGCAGTTAAAAAAGCTGATATGTATCAAATTAGCAAAAAAGAAATTGCGCCTAAAACTTCGGCTACAAATGTTTCGAGCATTTTCTAAATGGTGTAAATGGCTGAATCTTCAATGAAAAGTTTTTTTTTTTTTAAATTTGTTATATTAATATCTAGTTTCAAGTTACAAGGAAAAAGAAAACAGAAAGGCAACAGTTTACAACCTTCGCACTAATCGGCTACTGTAACGACTTAAAGAAAAGAAATTGGCCTTCATTAGTCACAGTATAACTGTCAGATAAATATTTATAGAAAAAATTAATTATAAAATTTGCATATCTCCAATATTTAAATTACCCATCCGCCTTTATTCTCCTTGCGGTTTAAAATAACGTAATCATAATGTAACTAAAGAATAATTTAATTTTAGCTATCACCAACTTTTAAAAAAAAATAATTTATAAACTTTTGGGGATTTTTTTTTTCAGTTAAAGTATTAGTAAGCAAAACAATTTCCTTTCGGATGTAAAAAAAATCAGTAAAAAATATTTTTTATTTTAAATGTTATTATTATTTATTAAATTATTATTATTAGTAGTAGTAAATATTTTTTATTTTAATTGTATTAATTATGAATCATAATTTCCAATTTTTTAATGCTTGATTGCGAGTTAATTAATTTAAGGGAATCTAACTTAAAAAGACTTCTTTCATCAAAAAGTTTGATTTTATTATAATTAATGATGCGTAAATCTAAATACTAAATTTCCTTCCGACATGAATTAGCTTTATTTAGTACTAAGCAAGGAAGGTAAATATTGTAAGTTTCAATTAACCAAAAATTTTTAGTTGTAATTATGTTATCAATGTACCCGTAAGTATTAGTAAAATATTTTAATGTACAATTCTGAGTAATTGTTGAAAACGATATTCTTTGGAAAACAAGTAAAAGTTACAAATTTAGGTGGATATATATATATATATATATATATTATATGCAATATTTTTCGATACAAAGACTTCCCAGTTTTGAAGCTTTTTCGAACTGTCATTAAGAGCTATTTACTTTATCAGATATTCAAAAGAATTTATTTGATATCCTACTCTTATCACTGAAGTGAAATACTACGTGTAAATGCTACTTTAAAACAAAAGCATTGTAACTTACATGCATTCACCAGGTTGTTCACAATACCCATGTTCAGGATGACACCCATCTTTACAAATAGCTTAAAGAGATAAAATTAGTTTTAGCGAGAAATCACAGAACAGAATATGAATTTAACAAGTTTTAGACGTGATAGCAAAAATGATTGTTTAATTTAAGAAGAACTGAATAATATTACTGAATAATTTAATGTATTTAACTTTTCAATAATGGCATAATACATACTGTACATATTGTACAGATACATGCTTTTGTTTACCAGAATTTTCTATTATATATAATTAATTACAATTAAAGCGATTATGCATCCAAAATTATAAAATATATTAACCAGTTTAAAATATTCATGAAATTTCATATGGGAAGTTAATATCAGTCACCTTCTTCGCAAGTATCTCCTCGCCAACCAGGCAGACACAACTTTTCACCTTTTTCGTTGCAAGTATAGTGACCGAATTTGTCATTTCTTGGTCTGCAGAAAACGGTACAAGTACTATTGTGGTAATATGGATCACACATTACACGAATGCGAAAGTTGATCTTTGCAGCTGTGCCAGTGTATAACAGTGTGTGCCACTCCAAGCTAGGTAAAATTATTCCAGAATATACTTTGCGTTCGATTATTCGAGCTGTACCTAGGAAAGAAAAAAAAAAAAGTGTTTCTGCTTTATTGAATTTTTTAGACACATTTTTATAGATTTAGGCAGAAAACGAAATAGGAAACACAAGCTAAAACTAAATATTAAAAGAAACGTAGTAAAACAGTAAATACAATTGCTGCAGGTGAACTACATTCTAAAAAAATGTAACTAAATCCTTTAATTAAAAAATTTAAAAAAAAAATAAAAAAATAAAAAAAAACCTGCAGAAACGCTCTTAGAATACTGAAGCGATTTTAAGTCTAATAGCTATTGTGCTTTTCTTTAGAAGGAAATTTAGGCAGGTCGCGGATCTGTGCTTAAATCTCTGTTCACACAGAGCAGAAAGTCTCTTGTTGGCAATGAAAGAGAGCCAAACTGGATAACATTTTCTTGGTGTTTTCCCTCGCAGAATAAATGACAGCAATGAAATCTAGTAGTTGCAGGAAAATATTCAGTAAGATCCAGAAAATAAACTTAAACTAAATTTTGAGATATAATAAGAATATTTATATTAAGAAATTTAAAATATGCAATTTACTACCTATCCATATCAAACGTTATGCAACATTATGGTGGAAGAGATCAAAAAATTATATTACATGTCTAATACTTGCATAAAACAGACAGAGAAGAGGCTATTAGAATCAAGGTAGAAAATAATATTCTACATGTTTTGTTAAAATTTTAAATTACTGACAGTACCAGCAATGGTGAATAAAATAAAGCATAACGTTGTTTAGAACTGACAATTGTTTTTCATGTTCGAATAATTTGTTTAGTAAAACACGTGTGGTAATTCGTGGGACAAAATAAGAATGCTAATTCTGTATTTAGAAACACACTTTGGAATACACTGCTATGCAGAATGGCTAGTGAACAAACATATATCTCGTACCTGACATATTTTCTAATTTATGGCATCTTATTCTAATTAAACAATCAAAGCTTGAGAAGACTGTAAATTTCATTTAAGAGTAGTGTGTTTTTGGCCTGTTTGTTTGGTTATGACAAAGTACGCAAGGGGGTATTTGCCTGAGGCAATAAATGCCTTCGTGGAGAGCTTTTTAAGGAAAACTGGATCGTATTCATGTTACACATGGAGAGAACCACGAAATACTACATACTTAGCCACCAATGAACATGCAGCCTGCATATTCATCGGGACTGAACTCCGGTCAAACTACCCAGTGTTCAGTAACTTTACCACTCGGCTGCTGGTTAGCCACCCTCAATTATATTAATTTAGACAATCAAAAGTGATACGATGCATAAGAAAGCAATATATTAATGCATAACAGGAAGGTTTTATTAAATTTGCATGTCAAAGCATGGCACGCAGATTATCAAGAATCATCAGCAAACCAAAAACGCATTGCAGTTAAAATTAGCGTTAGTTAAAATAGCGTAGTTAAAATGCATGAATGGAAGTATAAAGTCGATTACGTCTAAAAAAATGACAAAAAATGTCAAGCAGTGGTGGTACTTGCTGATTCCATATTTATAGCACTCTGATGTTCCGTTGCACCGCTTTTCTCATTTTTCTTTATTTATTTTCTCTTTTCCATTTTTTAAATGCTCCCTCTATGGAATTTTCTGTTCTTCTCCTCCTCCCCCTCTCCAAAGTTACTCTGAAGAAAGATTCTCCACCTTTTTCAGTTGACGACATAATTATCTGAACACACAATATTTTCAAAACAGTTCTTTGGATTTTGAATCATTATTGTGGTTTTTCATCATATTAAAATTCACTTATTCAGTTATTAAAGTGTGGGAGTGCTCAAAAGTCCCAAGAAAAACACTGACATGTTGTTTCTCAATCACAAATCCTGGTTTTGTGATTGACCAACGAAGACACAAAACATCTTTAAAATATCCCAGTCGTTTTCTTTGATTAGCTTCACTAATTTCATCGAATAAAATACTTATATGTGCAAATTCTAAATCGGTAATAAATTTTAAAATGCATATTTTAATCAAAAAAATTCTGCTATGCATCTCTTGAAACTTCATGACATACCGGCTGAGGAACTCTATAATAAAGTACCTAATTTGTGTTCACTAAGTTCCATAAGATCAATCGCTTGAAAAAGGATTCGCGCCGCATCAGTGGGCGAGTGGTTAAGACTGTAAAAACTGGAAGTTCGATCCGGGTGCGATGTCAACCGAAAAAGGAATGGTTGCATGATTGGTTTCCTTTATTTGTAACATGAATTTGTCTTAGAGAGCCGTCCACGAAGGCATTCCTCCCCATAGGCAGAAAGACATTGTGTGCTTTGCCGTATTCAAATAACTTAAATTATTTCTGGAGAAGGATTCGCACAAGATCCTTTTTTGACATATGTAAATTCTGAATTCCTTAAATAACAAATAAAACTTAATACCAAAATATCAACATTACCATTGGCTCACTGCTTAAGAAAAATACAATCACCTTCATAATTTGCGCAGTTTTCAATATAATTTTCTAATTTCAAATATCAGCAGATGCATATACACTTTTACAGCCGTAGTCGAATTTTGGATATTAAATATTTTTTCGAATTTCTACGTACATGCTCACGGAACTGTACCGATTAATCACGGAACTGTATCGCGATTAATCGCGATCATGTAAATAATACGCTTGAACTCGCACTTTCCAGTGAAAATTCAGTCACGAGTGCATTTTAGTGGACCAATTACAAAATGATTAAGAAAATATTTTTGACACCTCCTATCATAAAATCTAGGAAATGATCTCTAACTGTTGCAAAATATTCCAAATGATGAGTGCAATGTTCATATGCAGTTTCATAAAAATAACACGCATATTAAGGAAGCTAAAAAGGCTTGTTTTCAAAACTGCAATTTGTTTCGCTCTTTTTTTTTTTTTTTTTTGGTGGGGGGGAGGTCTTATAATATGGACAGTTTTCAACAAGTTTAACTACCTAAATTTAAATTGAAAACTGCAGACATTCGATAAGATATGAGCATTAAAAGGAAATAATTTTTAAATTGCATGCACGAAATTTATCAATTGCTTTCTTTCATAATTTGGTAGAAAAGTACACAGGACAACTTATATAAAAATTTCAGGCCAAAATCGGCCAAATTCAGGTGGATAACGAATATATCTTGTGCTATATTTCTGTTACTTTCTGAAACTAGCACGATAATAAGATCTTTTCCACAAATTGTCAATTCCTTAATTTAATGTTTGCTCATTTTGATATCAAATACGTGTTTCATGATCAAACACCTTCATCCCGTCTCTTATATAGCCCTCGTGACGTGTTTTGGCGTACCTGCATAATACTAGACATACACTTACAGTAAAGAGGTGTCTGATAACTTAACAGTTACCAGAAAACCCCAAATCATCCAGCAAGTTCTAGAAATAACTACTATATATACAGAAAACTATATCCTTAATAACTATCTGAACTGTCCGGTTTTCACCTAGAATTTTTATATAAGTTGACCTATACACTTGCCTACCGAATTATGAAAAGGTTTGTTTATTTGAAAACAGCAAACACGCCTAAGAGAAGGGATACCTTCGTGGAGGATTTTCTAAGGAAAACTGGCTCATATCCTCGTTACGCATAGGAAAAACCAGGAAGACACCCATGCAGTCACCCCGTTCGCCTAGAATCGAATCCCAGCCAAATTACCAGAGTTTAAAACTTTATCCGTCAGCCGCTATTGGGCCCCAAACTATGAAACGAGAAAAAGCTGATAAACTTAAATTCAAATTTCAATGTTTTGTCTATTGAACGTTTTCAAGTTTTCTGGAAGTTTCGTTAAATTTAGTTGAAAACTCTGCATGTTCTAAACAAAAAAGAATGCGGGAAAAAAAGTGGAATTTTTAAAAGAAACCTTTATAGCTTCGTTAATATACATGTTATATTTACGAAACTGCATATGAAAATTGCACATAGCATGGAAAAGCTGTTGCAATAGATAGAGATTATTTCCTGGATTTTATGAAACAACTGATTTTTCTTAAGTATTTTGTAATTGGGCCGCTAAATGCATTCGTGACTGAATTTTCGTTAGAAAGCGTACGTCACCGAGATTTAAAAAAATTTCGTTGGACATTTCTCTAGAAATTCAAAAAAATGTCCTAAATTGAAAAGTGCCCAGTGACTTTGGGTTGTACAGTGTACGTGCTATATCTGCATATAAAAAAAAAATCAATAACTTACGAGGGCTGTTCCTGTTGACAACATCCAAGGCATCTAAGATAAATGTGAAGGATCTCTGAAAATAAAATAAAATAAATGAATAAAGCAGTTGAATTGGAGGATAAAAATATCAAAGAATTAATTGGAATAGACTTTTATTCTTCAAAAATTAAAATATCACACAAATTTTCAAAATAAGAAAATGTGTAAATTTCATTGCAAATAAATTATTTCAAGAGTGTAAAGCTATTATGTTTTTTAGATTACTTTTGTGATCAACTGAAAAAAGAATGGAACTCAATAATAATCCTTGTATATTTTCCTTCATTCGTTACTGTGCCTAGATATAATGAAGTTGAAGGAATCTCGAATACTATTAGACATATATGAATTTCGTTAAACGGCCAAATTGAAAAAATATATGTAGCTTATTTAAATACAATGCAAAATAGACGTAATATTAAATTAGTAATAATTTTTAAAACATAAGAATGTATATATTTTATGCTTGTTAACAATCATTCATCTCAAAGGTTTCATTTTGTTTATTAAATAAAAACTCGAAGGAGCTATAAAGAACGATTCTTCAGTACCTGAGTAACTGCTCTGTTTCTCTCTCCGTAGGTAAAATGCATATCAGTGAACTTCGCTTTCGTGTAGTGATGCATATCGCTCGAAGTCTAATTGGGAATGACGATTTACGCCAGCGGGACGCATTTACCTGCCTCTCAACAGCGGCCCAGTACCACCGAAAAGCGCCCTTTCCAAACACACACTCCGTTACAAAAAGCGCCTATTTCTGTCCTATCTACATTTTTGCCAGGTATTTCTGAATTACCCTGTATTTCCTAATTGAATGTTTTTCACAAATGTAGAGAACTTCATGGATATTTGCATGTGTATATAAATACATTGCGTATTTAAAACAGATCTGCAATATATACACACATACACATGCTAGTCAATCCAAGATACTGGAATAAATATAATTAATCATCGTTAAATGAATTGTTTTTTTATTTCGATAATTTTCATACACCTGTAATGAAAAAATGAATTTGCAGATTGCAAAATGAGAACGCCAGTTCAGAAAATCATGGAATTAAATAGTTTAGATTTCACCTCCTTCCTTATGCATTAACTATTTTCTAATAAATAGAGAATGTTTTCAATTTTACACGGTAAAACAATGTATATTGAGAAGACACAACAGTTAAAATTCTTGAATTTCTGAGCAATGCAGTTCTTTACTGGTTTGAATTTGGTTTAATGCAGGGTTCTCAACCAGTAGGGGATAACCCGTAGGGATAAATTTCCTAGTTCCAGGGGAGGAATGAGGTCAGACTTTTATTTACCTATTAAGTATTTACTTTTATTTTATTAATATGAAAAACTACTTTAATTCCCGTTTTGGTCTTTATCAACATTTTACACACTTTCTGTTTGGTTTAATTTATGAAACACAGTAAAAAATAATCTAAATTTAAATAAATGTATATCTATTTTCCGAATATTATTTGGAATGGAGGGGGGGGAGAATGTTCGTCTAGCAAATGTGAAAAGATTGCATGCAGCATTTTTTTCTTAAATAGCAGAATAAACACTCCCCCCCCCTGGTAGAACTCGAAAATAAAGCATAATTAAAGTCCTTATCAAGCAAGTTTAATCAAAATTGTTAGCGTTAGTACAATGCAGAATAAAATTTTGAAGTTAAATTTCTCGAGCGTTTCCAGTTCCCACAGTTTTTTACAGTTGAATTTTTTGTTACAAGGCAACAAATATTTAATCAGAATATAACGATTATTGGGATTTATCACTTGGAAACTTTCATAATAATATAATAATAATAATAATAATAATAATAATAATAATAATAATTAATTAATTCAATGAAAATATTTCACATAGATTCTAAGAAAAGCTTCTATTAAAATTTTGTAGAGAAGATGAAAATGTCCAATATGTAGCGTATAATCTACGCTGTAGTTTTAGAAGGAAAAGAGAGATAAGTTTGCATAATGCTCCATTGTAGACAGTGCCATCCTTTCTCTAACTGTCTGGGAGTGCATTTAGTGATACACCCTTTCATCTCGATCCCTCCATTAATGCTAAGGTAAATGAGAGGCACAAAATTAGGCACCCGGCTGCGATCGTGTAAAATAATCAGTTGAGGGGCGTTAAATATTACGCATAGAAGTGTTCGATATGAAATATTGTATCCTATTAACTGGAGAGAAAATTATCATTTATCGTTTTACGGAGCTCAAAAATAGTCCTCTAAGCATGCTGCTAAATGGAAAAGCGAAGTCAAAGGTTATGATAAAATTATTTTCGTGTAATGTAGGCTTAACGAGACCAACGCAGGTGCGAACTGTGAATGCTGCAATTAAACTGGGGGGCCTTCCACCGAAACTAGATAGTCGCTGTAATTTTAGTTTTTTTACTCCGGCAGGGAGAGAGATAATCGCTTCGCAGGTGAATGAAGTTTGCAGCTAACTTATGCAGTGAAAGCAGAATTACCTGTGATGTAAGAAATCTACCCACTTAACAAAGGTGAAAATTAAACTTACTGTACAAGTTTTTTATTTACAATGTAATTTGAAACTTTCATAATTTCGTTAATTCAACTGTTTGCTTAAAGGAAAGTAACTCTTAAGAGTTTTGGAGACCGCATATTCTGAACAATACTTGAATATCCTTGTACTCCCAATGAGTCTCCTTTAAACAGCTGTGCGTACATTTTATGGAGACTTTAACAGAATTAGTGACTATTCCGTACCTTTACAGTCAACAAATAACAATATGGAGCAAAGCATTTCACACTTCACAGTTTTCTTATTAAGTGGAAATTATTTAATCCTGAAAAAATAAAGGAATCTGAACAATACCGGCTATAAATCTTCATCTATTTCATAACAGGATTTGTTCAGAAAATACTGTACTCTGTTATTCAATGAATTGACTTAAATACAATGTTAGAGATTTTTTGACCTCATTACTGAATAAAACAATTTCAGAAATAAATAAATAATTAAAAAAAAAAACATTCAACGCACGTTACTGAGCATGTGCAAAATACGGCATGATGGAAAATAATCATTAAGGCAAATTATTCAGACAAATTTTATTAGACATCTGAAGGAACATTGAATAATGAATATAATAAATTATGTTTCAAAATGAATTAAATTCGATAATGTGCATTATCATAAATTGAGTATAACTGATATATTTTAAATACAAAAGTGTCGGGAATTACCGAAGAATCCCAATGACTGAGGAGTAGAGTATTTATTTATTCAAGTAATTTGGTACGAAATCCAGTTCAAGTGGAATGCATTCTAAATGGGTAAGATAATATTCCCTAAGTACGAACTCCCAAGGCAAGACAAACGAATGTTGCAGTAGTAACATTTAATCATTTTCATACAAAGAGAATTAATTCGTCTGAGAAAGAAAAGAAACACAGCGCAATTAAAATTGTCACTTACGAAGTTCTTTTCAGTGCCTAAATAAATCATTTGCATCTTAAATACTACTTTTTACACTTAAACATACATTTCGCATTATCTCATAAGTTATTTTGAAATTCATTAATACAGATTTATCAAAGATTGTTACGCCTAATAAGCTGAATTAATATATGTATAAACTTCATTGAGATGCGGCCATCAATATAGTACTGTATATCTTAGCAATTAATAAAGCTTTTCAAAAGACAATATATAATGTATCTGGAAATTTACGCACCCTTTCATATTTACTCTCATTTCACATTGATATTTCACATTGATTTCTTATTTCGGATTGCATATAAAGAAAGGGATGTATTACGAAATAACCATGTTAGAAAACTGTTAGCTGCCAACATTTTTAAAGGTGATATGATCTTCCGATGGAAGGTAAGTAGAAGGGTAATTCATAAGATAAATACCGAGAACATACGTTTAGGGATGGATTCTACGTGAATGAGATGTGCCAACAGAAATTCGATCATATTTATATCACATGTCAGGATAAACAAGAAAAACCCAATGAACTTTCCATTATTCGAGTTTCAAAAGAAATTACCAGGGATCGATAATCTCATTCCCACAGATATTTTTTTCTGTTTAAAGCAATGTAAAATTGACATCGTTAAACTCCAGTTTGGGATAAAATTTCTTAAAAGTGAAGACTTTGTTATTATTATTATTATTTTCAGCAGATACAGAGGATGTCTACATATTTTTAGGTGGTGTGGTGTATTCAATTATGGCAAAGCACACTAGGGCTATCTGCCTAAGTGGAGGGATGCCTTTCGTGGAGGACTTTCTAAGGGAAACTGGCTCGTATACACGTTACACATGGGGAAAACCACGAAAACGCCCATGCAGCCAGCCCGTTCGCGGGATTCGAACCTCGGACCGAACTACCAGTGTTCAGCGACTTTACCGCTCGGCCGCTGGTGGGCCTACATATTTTTAGAACGATTTTGATAAAGAATTTAAAAAAAGTAAATATTTTTGGATTAAACTTTTCTGGCAACAACATTTTATTTGAAATCAGAAATATCGTCTCCTGCTTTTAAATTTATTCTTCTTTCAAAATGCATATATAAACAAGCTGTGTATTGAAGGATATGTTTTTTCGCTTTTCGAAGAGAAATAATCTTATTCCATAATACAAAAAGGTTAAGAAAATGCATAGTAATAAAATTTCTACCTGCAAAATAAGCAGCTTTATTAATCGGAAAGGGGAAAACTGTCAGTCATTACTTTCCACATGGAAAGAAGACTCCAAACGAATGACCAAAAACGTACTTACTGTTTCTAATGGTTCTAAAGTTAAATCGTTGGCAATAACAGAAAATCCGTTGACGCAGAAATCATTTGCAGAGTCTTTACATGAACCTGTAGCAACAATAAACAAAATAATAAACTAAAATTTATAACTTAAAAAAGCTAAAAAACATAATGTTCTCCAGGTTTTTCTGAGGCATGTTGCTCAAAGCAGAACAATTTGTAGGACCCTGTATGAAAACTATTTAGAAATCGTTACGAAAACTAAATCGAAATACATTATGAGGCTTGATGA